ACGGTGGTGGCAGCAGCATGCTGTGGGGATGTTTTTCAGCGGGACTCACTGGGAGACTAGTCAGGATCGAGGGAAAGATTAACTTAGCAAAGTACAGAGAGATCCTTGATGAAAACCTGCTCCAGAGATCTCAGGACCTCAGACTGGGGCAAAGGTTCAACTTCCAACAGGACAATGACCCTAAGCACACAGCCAAGACAACTCAGGAGTGGCTTCAGGACAAGTCTCTGAATGTCCTTGAGTGGCCCAGCCAGAGCCCGATCTAACATCTCTGGAGAGACCTGAAAACAGCTGTGCAGCGACGCTCCCCATCCAACCTGACAGAGCTTGAGAGGCTCTGCAGAGAAGAATGGGAGAAACTCTCCACATACAGATGTGGCAAGCTTGTAGCGTCATAGCTACAAAGACTCAATGCTGTAATCGCTGCCAAAGGTGCTTCAACAAAGTACTGAGTAAAGGGTCTTAAGACTTAAGTACGTGTGATATTTCAGTTTTTATTTTATAAAAGTGCAATATTTATAAAAACCTGTTTTTGCTTTGTCATTATGGGGTGTGTGTGGCTTGATGAGGAGAAAAAAAGAATTTAATCAATTTTAGAATAAGTCTGTAACATAACAAAATGTGGGGAAAGTCAAGGGGTCTGAATACTTTCCGAATGCTCTGTTTGTCGACCACTAAATGTCATGCCTTTACAAAAAACAGAATGTGTTCTGGACGTGAATGAGTTAACGATGGAACTGTATACATGTATATTTTACAGTCACAAATAAAAGGGTTAGGTACAGTATATTTTGTTTAGTCCGTTTGATGTACTGTAATTAACGTATATGCCCACCAGCGCTTTCATGTAGCCAGTGGGAATCGTTTGACAGGCTGATATGGTTTGTAATAAAGAATTGAGCCAATCGCAATATCAGTTTCCGCATAGGGGCGGGACGTAATAGGGACACGCTAATGAGGAGTTCGATTAAGCTGCCCCGGGCGCCCGTTTACCGGGTGAAAAGTGATTGCATTTATTTTGGAACCTGGCTGCCTCACGGTCATGAGACCGTTCTCTGCCCCGTTCTGGCCTACGGAGAAGTCGGCTCAAACTCTGCTCTTCGGTTAAGCACGCGGAGCAGAGTAGGATTCTGTGTTTTCACATGCAAGAGTGGTTGCTTTTCATAAAAACGCTTTATCTGCCTTCCCGATGAAAACTAGTTTGAAAATGTGAACAAATATTTAATGGAAAATTTAAGTTATGTGTCTGGAGGAGACATCATGTTGCCTTGTTGACAACATGACCGAGCGGCGCAGATAACTTCGATTTGAGCAGGTCGTACCTCCCTCACCGGTTTCGCCCTGTGCAACCCGGGCCAATTTAATAGAATCCTCTCAATCAAAACCAGGTACCCCCTTTCCATTGGTCGATAGAGGTATGAATGAGGTGGGGCTTGCAGCAAAGCTCGCGGTGTTCTGTTGAAATGCCATTACCGACCATTAAAACAACTGGGACTGAAAATTTACCGAAGTGGGGACAACGACAAATACGACCCAAAGGTGGATTTAATTGCACGAGAAATGTCAACATTTGGAAATGGGATTACGCAAGGATTGCATTGATGTGTACTGCATTTCCCTCCGGTTTAGCCGTGGCTAGCTACCTCTCAAGCTAGCCGAATCGGAACAATCGGTAGCTAGCCAGCCAGCTATCCAACATAGTTAGCTAGCTAACTACAGTAACTCTATAGACTTAGGTTATATGTAGTAGGACTAGGACGGTGCACGTTTCATCGCTAAAAATACTGAAAACGAATGTTGTTTCTGTCATGAGTCCAGCCGGGTGCCCCCATGTGAACGGTTTCAAAGTGGATAACTGGAAACAGAATCTACGGGTCATTTACCAATGCTTTGTGTGGAGTGGATCTGCCGAAACCAGGAAACGCAAGGTAAAATTGTAAACTGTCGCTAGCTGACTAGCTCAGAACATGCAGCAGCAGACCGCTTCTCAGGAGAAGTTCCCTCGACGTCTCACTGGCTAGCTGTCGCACATCATCACTATTTCTAAGTACCAAGTCACAGACGAAGAGGCAACTCATACAAGTGTGTGACAGACCCTGTTTAGTCAATTAGCTAACGTAAACTTTAGAGCAAACTAGTGATATTTGCTACGGTTTGCCACCATAGCACTTGTCGAACGTTGTCTAGGTAACGTTGACTAACTACAGTACACATTTTCAGGCACGTCTGTTTCTCACGGCTTGGGCAGTTGTACGTTTACTAACTAACTGACTGGTGCAGTTTTGGACAGGATTGACACTGAAGGGTGTGTGTGATGAAACGGTTAATTTAATACCTAACCCCCTACGTCTCATGCATCACACAATCCTGTGTACATGTGTGCGCGCCTGTTTAAGCAGTCCCATCTGTTTACCATCCTTGCATCCCCAGCTAGCTACATTGCTTGTCTCTCTGGAAAGTATCTCGTAGGCTACAATGAAAATAAGTAAATCTCTACAGTCTGAATAACATGAACACAGTACTTGGGTTATTTCATCCAAATGTGCAATTCCTTTGCTAGTTCTACTTTTCCGTGTGCTATCTGCGCTCATCACCAACCGCCCCCGCGCAACGGTACAGACACACAAAATACGATTATTTTATGTTCCTTATGAGCCAAGTACGGTCGGGTCTGGGGATATTATATAACTAACGTAGTTACCAATTGTAAAAAATAAATAAATAATTACATGCGTGTATGTCCATATCATGATTAACCCACGCTTCCATTGGATACAGTATTAAGACACGGTTGGAGAGTTTCACCAAAATATTTTTTTCCACCAATATATTTTCAAACTGCTTTGGTAGACTATAATCTCAAAGCATATTCATCTAGTCTACATTATACTTATCATGCAGTACTGTCTGTGTCCACACAATGCGTCATATAACTGCTGTCATTCTAGCTAGACTAGAGCCTCCGCCTGTTGGTGTCACTGTGTTTGTAGGCAGTGCATCACCTACCATCTCCATATCTTTTCAAAGGTTAGGCCAACTTAAACCCACTTATCTTTATCCCACCTTTGCGTTTTGCCCAAGTTCATCAAGTGATACTGAGAGGCTGCAGTGAAGGATTCACACAAGCACTAAGCCAGCAATGTCTAATTTTTTGACCCAATCCAGATATCATGTGTGGTTGGACTAACCCCAGGAGTTTGCATACCTTAGTCCTCATGTAACTGTATTGTTTGTTCAGGGTTGCGCTGTAGACACAGCAGGGGTGCAGGGCTCTAGCATAACTTTTTTACAAGGAGCACGTGTGCGCCTAAGTTGAAAAATGTAGGCGCACACAAATTTAGGAGCACAATGGAAAATATTTGAGGTAATGAAGCTAGAATCCCTGTCTGTTTCCCCCAGGCCTCTGTCTCTGTGGGTTCAAGGGTTTATTGGTATCATGTGTACAGTGTAGCTTCCTTCCAAATGGTTTCAACATTCTAACTCTTTCATCTCAGGGCCCTCAGCTTGCTAACCGCAACACACACACACACACACTGTAGCCAGTGTTTTGTAAGGTAAATGGTAACCATCTCACTATCTAAAAACATTATGAACAGTTTTGTCCTTCTGACTGAGTGAGTCCTCATATCACTTCTGGTTTGAGTTAGGGATGGGCATGGGAACGGACGTCAACTCTATCTTTTACCGGAGAAAAAAATAATCAAATACTGGAAAACTATTTGGTGGAATGTGCTTTGTGAAAAAAATGAAATTGTCTCAACTGTTCCAGACAGAGGCACGAACAGATCTACTCCCTATTGGATTATTTAACAAGGGTGTATGTTTCTCATATCGAAGTTAATGACTGAGCACATAATGCATGCATCGCTATGTATCCTACAAAATAGAATATCAGAGTTCAGAGCGTGGTGTCATATCAGAATGCTTCAACCAATATCACGTGTGACAGCTGTGAGCAGTCTGCTGCACCCCCTAACCAGCCATATAGCCTACTCGGCTGCTTCTCTCCGTCTGTTCTTTCTGCGCGTCTCCATCAGTTAAAAAATGTTATGTAGCCGTGATGGCGAGCTGGAGTGTGCAGACAGTGATGGGGTTTCTGTTACATTTGTTTGATTATTGGAGTTGCTTGCAGCGTGAGTGAAGTGGACACGTATCTCCTGTAAGAACAAGCAGGCCAGTCTGACTAGGCTTTGCTGTCACGCTGCCTCTGAGTGCCTCTGCCATAGATGAAAAAGAGAGCTCAGTGAGTCATCCTTGCGCATTTACAACCCTGAAAACCTACTCAGATGTTTCCAAGGTAGGATGCATATGCCTAATCAATGTAATTCGAAGATAAATCAGAGTCAAATCAATCTCTAATTCAGGTGTTACTTAAATTCTGTTTGGTGCCTAACTTTTGGTGTGTGTGAGAGTGAGTGGTGTGTGTGTGTGGGAGAGGGAGTAAGTGATCGAGAGTATGTGTGAGGGAGAGAGTGTGTAGGCTGTGTGTAAAGTTGTCTGAAGAGTAGGCTAAAGATGGTTTCATATTGGCCTAGTGTGTTTTCCCCTGCCGCAATGAAAATGTAGATCATTATGCATTCATATTCCTTACTACATTCCTCCTGCCCAATCACAGGTAGGCCTTTTGGATATGAGCAAATCAGCTATTTTCTGCAATAGCCTTTTCTATTATACAGTAAAAAGTGTGAAGTTAAATAGAGGCGTGACTATCAGGGGAAAGGTTTTTGTGCAGCACACATGCAGAACGTATAGAAAACAGGCTTCCTGGGCGGGGTAAACCCTGTGGTATCTGATATCACATCGGTAGGAACATTTTGGTGTGACAACCCCACTCTGAAAATAGGCCAATTTTCTTGTGGTTTACAGATTTTTTGTGTGTGTGTGTATCTGTGCTAAAACGTGTCACCTTTTTGGGCCCTCACCAGTTAGCATCCCTGCTCTCTAGTTGTTTGACTCCACGCAACCCCATCTTGCGTTAGGCCAGGAATCTATATTTAACCATGCGTGTAATGGTAATCTAAACCTACCTGTCCGCTGGGTGGTGATGAGTTATGGGGATACCTGTGTTCAGAGCTGTCATAGACCAGGCTTGTTGTATTTAATCAGGGCTGACGCGACGGTCTGGGGGCGTGGAACGGCGGCGACAGACTGATGATGAATATCTATCTTTTGCTCTGATTTTCACCCACTCTTTCTGTCAGTTTCTTTCTCTGCCTCTTTTTTCCCCTCCTTCAGCTCTCCTTTCCTACTCACTTATTCCCCCCCCCCCCCACGCAGTAGCCCCTGCTCCATGGATACCTCAATTAGGGTAAATGGAGTGAGTGATGCATGGATGAGGAGAGAACAAACAAACGGATGGAGCGTCTGGGGTGGACCTCCTAATGAGCAGTTGATTGTCTCATCAGTCTGCTTCATACACGCCTCGTTTCCGCCCTGAGAGGAACAGACCCACAGAGAGGTGACATACCACCCAGGTCGTGTTCACTATGGCAAACTGTAGCAAAAACCTTTGAAACAGAAATGTGTTTAAAGAACTGTAGGTATTACCTCCCTGTATTGCTTTTTCAAACCTGTTCCGTGCCTCAACCTAGTCATTTCTCTTATGATACTGTCTGTTCCCACCTCCTAAAGCCCACTAAGGCAACTCCATTGAAGCAGTTGTTATGAACGCACTGTGTGCTGTCCTCTTCACCACCTTTGACCAGCCACTCTATGCCCCATTTAACTTTGTGAATTTTGCTCGCTTGAAATCGTCTGGCAGGTGGGTCTTTTGAGTGATCTGATTGTTGAGTAAAGCCTAGCGCCTAATACCTTTGGTCAACATCATAACCTTCATTCGGCCTTGTGTCCCTTCCACCTAAGTCTTTCTCTACTGAAACCTTCAAATCAAAGTTTATTGGTCGCGTACACAGATTTGCAGGTGCAGCTAAATACTTGTCATACTAGCTCCAACAGTGCAGTAGAATGTCTAGCAAATACAACACAAATAACATAAACATTTAAACAGGAAATGTCAGAATGAGTCCCATGTCGGATTCCAGAATGTAAATATGTGGTGTGACAGTATATCATTTGGGAAAGAAAATTACATGTACAGTAGTAGGTCCACTACCAGTCAAAAGTTTGGACACACCTTCTATATTTTTACTATGTTTTACATTGTAGAATAATAGTGAAGACATCAAAATGAAATAACACATATGGAATCATGTAGTAACCAATAAAGTGTTAAACAAATCAAAATATATTTTATATTTGAGATTCTTCAAATAGCCACCCTTTGCCTTGATGACAGCTCTGCACACTCTTGGCATTCTCTTAACCAGCTTCACCTCGAATGCTTTCCAACAGTCTTGAAGGAGTTCCCACATATGCTGAGCACTTGTTGGCTGCTTTTCCTTCACTCTGCGGTCCGATTCATCCCAAACCATCTCAATTGGGTTGAGGTCGGGGCATTGTGGAGGCCAGGTCATCTGATGCAGCACTCCATCACTATCCTTCTTGGTCAAAAGCCCTTACACAGCCTGGAGGTGTGTTGGGTCATTGTCCTGTTGAAAAACAAATGATAGTCCCACTAAGCCCAAACCAGATGGGATGGCGTATCGCTGCAGAATGCTGTGGTAGCCATGCTGGTTAAGTGTGCCTTGAATTCTAAATAAATCACACAGTGTCACCAGCAAAGCACCATCACACCACCTCCTCCATGCTTTACGGTGGGAAATGCACATGCAGAGATCAGCCGTTCACCCACACCGTTTCTCACAAAGACACGGCGATTGGAACCAAAAATCTCAAAATTGGACTCCAGACCAAAGGACACATTTCCACTGGTCTAATGTCCATTGCTCGTGTTTCTTGGCACAAGCAAGTCTATTCTTATTATTGGTGTCCTTTAGTAGTGGTTTCTTTGCAGCAATTCGACCATGAAGGCCTGATTCACACAGTCCCCTCTGAACAGTTGATGTTGATGTATCTGTTACTTGAACTCTGAGAAGCATTTATTTTGGCTCGAATTTCTGAGGCTAGTAACTCTAATGAACTTATCCTCTGCAGCAGAGGTAACTCTGGGTCTTCCATTCCTGTGGCGGTCCTCATGATTATTCTGGCATTTCACATTGTTAAAATAAAGTGGTGATCCTAACTGACCTAAGACAGGGCATTTTTACTAGGATTAAATGTCAGGAATTGTGAAAAACTGAGTTTAAATGTATTTGGCTAAGGTGTATGTACATTTCTGACTTCAGCTGTACATACACAGTGAGTAAACGGCAGTAATTTAAATAGTACATGAAGTGATCAGACCCCTTGACTTTTTCCACGTTTTGTTACGTTACAGCCTTTTTCTAAAATTGATTAAATTGTTTTTTTTCCCTCATCAATCTACACACAATACCCCATAATGACAAAGTGAAAACAGGTGGACTCAAATCAAGTTGTAGAAACATCTCAAGGATGATCAATGGAAACCAGATGCACCTGAGCTCAATTTAGAGTCTAATAGCAAATAAGGTATTTCTGTTTTTAAAAAATAAAAATGTACAAACATTTCTCAACCTGTTTTTGCTTTGTCGTTATGGGGTATTTTGTGTAGATTGAGATGATATTTAAGTGTGTTCCAAATAAATATCTCCAGCCTGCTGGTTAAGACGAGGGGCTCAAGGTAATTTCTGTTACTTCTTGAGAGACAAGTCCTGGATAGTTTCAGGTCATTGACCACATGCCCAGTCTCTGCTGGGTTTCAGAGAGGAGGACTGAGTTTGTGTGTGTGTCCTAAAGAAAACGTTGGAGTGGCTTACACACACAGTCTTTCACATACACACACTGTTGTATATTAATGCATCTTCATAATTCATGGACACATACATGCTTAAACATGCGGCAGCATTCTTCCTGGAATATGAATTGATGGAATGTATATTCATACATGCTGGCGTTCTGTGTTATTTGATATACACTGAACAAAAATATGAACGTAACAATTTCAAGGATTTTACTGAGTTACAGTTCAAATAAGGAAATCAGCCAATTGAAATAAATAAATTAGGGCCTAATCTATGGACTTCTAATGGCTGGGAATACAGATATGCATCTGTTGGTCACAGATGCACTATACAGTGCATTCGGAAAGTATTCAGACCCCTTCCCTTTTTCCACATTTTGTTACGTTACAGCCTTATTCTAAAATTGATATACAATTATTTTTTTCAATCGACACACAATACACCATAATGACAAAGCGAAAACAGGTTTGTATTTTATTTTGCAAATGTATAAAAAAAACGGATACCTTATTTACATAAGTATTCAGACCCTTTGCTATGAGACTCGAAATTGAGCTCAGGTGCATCCTGTTTCCGTTGATCATTCTTGATGTTTCTACAACTTGATTGGAGTCCACCTGTGGTAAATTCAATTGATTGGACATGATTTGGAAAGGCACACACCTGTCTACGTAAGGTCCCACAGTTGACAGTGCATGTCAGAGCAAAAACAAACAAGCCATGAGTTCGAAGGAATTGGCCGTAGAGCTCTGAGACAGGATTGTGTCGGCACAGATCTGGGGAAGGGTACCAACAATTTCTGCAGCATTGAAGGTCCTCAAGGACACAGTGGCCTCCATCATTCTTAAGTGGAAGATTGGAGTTTGGAACCACCAAGACTCTTCCTAGAGCTGGCCGCCTGGCCAAACAGAGCAATCGTTGGAGAATGGCCTTGGTCAGGGAGGTGACCAAGAAACCGATGGTCACTCTGACAGCGCTCCAGAATTCCTCTGTGGAGATGGGTGCACCTTCAAGAAGGACAGCCATCTCTGCAGCACTCCACCAATCAGGCCTTTATGGTAGTGGTCAGACAGAAGCCACTCCTCAGTAAAAAGGCACATGACAGCCCGCTTGGAGTTTGCCAAAGGGCACCTAATGGACTCTCAGACATTGAGAAGAAACAAGATTCTCTGGTCTGATGAAACCAAGATTGAACTCTTTGCCTGAATGCCAAGTGTCACACTCGGAGGAAACCTGGCACCATCCCTACGGTGAATATGGTGGTATCACATCATGCCGTGGGGATGTTTTTCGCGGCCGGGACTGGGATACTACTCAGAAGCCAGGAAAGATGAACGAAACAAAGTCAAGAGAGATCCTTGATGAAAACCTGCTTCCAGAGGCGCTAAGGACCTCAACTGGGGCGACGGTTCACCTTCCACAGACAACCTAGGGCAAGACAACGCACGGGGTCTCTGATGTCTGAGTGGCAGCAAGCCCGGAATTGACCATCGACAGGAAAAACTCGAGAGAAGAAGTGAAACTCTCCAAATAAGGTGCCAACTGTACGTCATACCAATAAGACTTGAGGCTGTAATCGCTGCCAAAGGTGCTTCAACAAAGTACTGAGTAAAGGGTCTGAATACTTACGTAAATTTGATATTTTTATTTTTTGACATTTGCAAACATTTCTTAACCTGTTTTTGCTTTGTTATTATGGGGTATTGTGTGTAGATTGAGGGGGGGGGGGAATAACTATTTAATCCATTTTAGAATAAGGCTGTAACGTAACAAAAAGTGAAGGAGTCTTTGTTCTCAGGCCTGGAGGGAAGCCAAAGTAATTCCGCTACCCAAGAATGGTAAAGCGGCCTTTACTGGTTCTAACAGTAGACCTATAAGCTTGCTGCCAGCTCATAGCAAACTTTAGGAAACAATTGTGTTTGACCAAATACAGTGCTATTTCTCTGTAAACAAATTAACAGACTTTCAACATGCTTATATGGAAGGGCACTCAACATGTACTGCACTGACACAAATGACTGATGATTGGTAGAAAGAAATTGATAATAAGAAGATTGTGGGAGCTGTACTGTTAGATTTCAGTGCAGCCTTTTGATATTATTGACCATAACCTGTTGTTGAGAAAACATATGTTATGGCTTTTCAACCTCTGCCATATCGTGGATTCAGAGCTATCTATCTAATAGAACTCCGAGTTTTCTTTAATGGAAGCTTCTCTAATGTCAAACATGTAAAGTGTGGTGTACCACAGGGCAGCTCTCTAGGCCCTCTACTATTTTCTATTTTTACCAATGACCTGCCACTTGCATTAAACAAAGCATGTGTGTCCATGTATGCTGATGATTCAACCATATATGCATCAGCAACCACAGCTAATGAAGTCACCGAAACCCTTAACAAAGAGTTGCAGTCTGTTTTGGAATGGGTGGCCACTAATAAACTGGTCCTGAACATCTATAAAACTAAGAGCATTGTATTTGGTACAAATCAGTCCCTAAGTTCTATACCTCAGCTGAATCTGGTAATGAATGGTGTGGCTGTTGAACAAGTTGAGGAGACTAAATTACTTGGCGTTACCTTAGATTGTAAACTATCATGGTCAAAACATATAGATTCAATGGTTGTAAAGATGGGGAGAGGTCTGTCCGTAATAAAGAGATGCTCTGCTTTTTTGACACTTTTTTGTCTAATCTTGATTATTGTCCAGTAGTGTGGTCCAGTGCTGCAAGGAAAGACCTAGTTAAGCTGCAGCTGGCCCAGAACAGAGCGGCTCTTCATTGTAATCAGAGGGCTGATAAAAATACTATGCGTGCCAGTCTCTCTTGGCTAAGAGTTGAGGAGAGACTGACTGCATCACTTCTTTTTATAAGAAACAATGTGTTGAAAATCCCAAATTGTTTGCATAGTCAACTTACACACAGCTCTGACACACGCACTTACCCCACCAGACATGCCACCAGGGGTCTTTTCACAGTACCCAAATCCAGAACAAATTCAAGAAAGCGTACAGTATTATATATAGCCATTATTGCATGGAGCTCCATTCCATCTCCTATTGCTCAAATAAACAGCAAACCTGGTTTCAGAAAAACAGATAAAGCAACACCTCACGGCACAATGCCTCTCCCCTATTTGACCTAGATAGGTTGTGTGTATCTATTGATATGTAGGCTACGTGTGCCTTAAAATAAAAGTATGTACAGTGGGGGAAAAAAAGTATTTAGTCAGCCACCAATTGTGCAAGTTCTCCCACTTAAAAAGATGAGAGGCCTGTAACTTTCATCATAGGTACACGTCAACTATGACAGACAAATGGAGAATTTTTTTTCTCCAGAAAATCACATTGTAGGATTTTTTTATGCATTTATTTGCAAATTATGGTGGAAAATAAGTATTTGGTCACCTACAAACAAGTAAGATTTCTGGCTCTCACAGACCTGTAACTTCTTCTTTAAGAGGCTCCTCTGTCCTCCACTCGTTACCTGTATTAATGGCACCTGTTTGAACTTGTTATCAGTATAAAAGACACCTGTCCACAACCTCAAACAGTCACACTCCAAACTCCACTATGGCCAAGACCAAAGAGCTGTCAAAGGACACCAGAAACAAAATTGTAGACCTGCACCAGGCTGGGAAGACTGAATCTGCAATAGGTAAGCAGCTTGGTTTGAAGAAATCAACTGTGGGAGCAATTATTAGGAAATGGAAGACATACAAGACCACTGATAATCTCCCTCGATCTGGGGCTCCACGCAAGATCTCACCCCGTGGGGTCAAAATGATCACAAGAACGGTGTGCAAAAATCTGGATAAGAGCGTCTGCTAAATGACGTAAATGTAAATGTAAAAATCTGGATAAGAGCGTCTGCTAAATGACGTAAATGTAAAAATCCCAGAACCACACGGGGGGACCTAGTGAATGACCTGCAGAGAGCTGGGACCAAAGTAACAAAGCCTACCATCAGTAACACACTACGCCGCCAGGGACTCAAATCCTGCAGTGCCAGACGTCCCCCCCTGCTTAAGCCAGTACATGTCCAGGCCCGTCTGAAGTTTGCTAGAGTGCATTTGGATGATCCAGAAGAGGATTGGGAGAATGTCATATGGTCAGATGAAACCAAAATAGAACTTTTTGGTAAAAACTCAACTCGTCGTGTTTGGAGTACAAAGAATGCTGAGTTGCATCCAAAGAACACCATACCTACTGTGAAGCATGGGGGTGGAAACATCATGCTTTGGGGCTGTTTTTCTGCAAAGGGACCAGGACGACTGATCCGTGTAAAGGAAAGAATGAATGGGGCCATGTATCGTGAGATTTTGAGTGAAAACCTCCTTCCATCAGCAAGGCCATTGAAGATGAAACGTGGCTGGGTCTTTCAGCATGACAATGATCCCAAACACACCGCCCGGGCAACGAAGGAGTGGCTTCGTAAGAAGCATTTCAAGGTCCTGGAGTGGCCTAGCCAGTCTCCAGATCTCAACCCCATAGGAAAATCTTTGGAGGGAGTTGAAAGTCCGTGTTGCCCAGCGACAGCCCCAAAACATCACTGCTCTAGAGGAGATCTGCATGGAGGAATGGGCCAAAATACCAGCAACAGTGTGTGAAGACTTACAGAAAACGTTTGACCTGTGTCATTGCCAACAAAGGGTATATAACAAAGTATTGAGAAACTTTTGTTGTTGACCAAATACTTATTTTCCACCATAATTTGCAAATAAATTCATAAAAAATCCTACAATGTGATTTTCTGGAGAAAAAAAATCTCATTTTGTCTGTCATAGTTGACATGTACCTATGATGAAAATTACAGGCCTCTCTCATCTTTTTAAGTGGGAGAACTTGCACAATTGGTGGCTGACTAAATACTTTTTTCCCCACTGTATTTGTGCATGAAAGTAAGGAGAAATACGTTTTTTTTGTGTGAATGGAAATTTTCTGGGACGTTTTATTTCAGCTCTTGAAACATGGGACCAAAACCTTACATGTTGCGTTTATATTATTGTTCAGTATACTACCTCAGAGCTATAGCCAAAAGGATAGGGATTCCATTTTTGTTTACTTTAGATTTCGGATGAAGATGGAGTAAGATGCTGCTGTGAACATGGACTCTTCTCAGTAAAGGTTCTTGAGAGAAGGAGCTGAGGATTAGCAACTTTTCAAGCGCAAACCATCAACTATGCTGTATGACCTTTGGCTCCCAAGGTTATCTGAACTCCATTTATCCCTCTCTTCTCTCCATTTCTCACTCTCTCTTCCCCATCTCTCGGGCACAGCTGATCTCCTTGCTTTCTATCCCATCATGCCTTGCACTTCACAGCCACGCTGACTCACAGCAACAATCCCGCCTCATCTGCATGTGTTTTGAACTGTCACTTTTCGTCCTACTGCCACGTTCTCTCTCTTCCTCTCTCTTCCCCCCCCCACCCCCCCAAGTCACCCTCCATATTTCACATCATCCCTCTGCAGCAGTATGCTTTCCATTCCATATACCCAACCTAACCAGTCACAATGGATTCAGGGTATGGTGGCCCTAGCCATCAGTTATGTGTAGGATGTTCTAGCCTAGTGTTCCCCCTCTGTCTGTCTCGGTCCGAGAAGGACAGTAAGTGACTCAGTCTTTGTTGGTCAGTACACTGAGGATCTCTCCATCGGCCTGCTGCTTGCCTCTCCTGTGATGTTTGTGTAGTTGGCGCTGTCGCACTTCCTCTGACTAGCCACCTTTCCCCCTCACTGCATCATGCCCCCTCGCCAACACAGAGCAGCCTTTCTCTCACTCCGGCCAAGCCAATGTATGATGTCATCCCGGAAGAAGACCAATCAACATTCTTAGGCCACTCTCACTCTTGTCCAGTTCAACTTCCACAGTGACCCTCAGGATCTAGGTGTGTGTGTGTGTGTTTAACTAAAAAGCTTCAGCGTGAATGGGTGTGTATCGTGTGTGTGTGACGTATCAGTGTGTTGCGAGCCAGCAGCAGTCTTGTAGGAGGAAGCAGATCTATCTTCAGCCCTCTTTATCAGATGATCTGGTCACGGGGAAAGGCTGCGATGGGATACACCTCCTTATAGGATATTAACACCAACATAAAATAATGTTGACAACACTGCCATACCCTGGCTTTGTGTTCAGTACGGTGTGCAACGTTGAATTCAACGGCTGTTTGGAGAAATGCCATGACAGCTGCTGTCCATAGAAATGTATAGAGGGGGCACCTCAGATCTGTAATTGATCGCTTCTGTGATGGCAAAGTTCATAGAGGGCTTTCCTGTGCAGTGGCAAGTGTGCCCTCTATACATCTCTGGGTCCGTGTTAGGGATGTTAACGGTTAACTGCCAAAAATACATTTGACTGGTCATGTTTATCGGGCTAGGTTAATTTTGCTTAATGTAGTTAATTTGCGTAAAGTGTGTATTTTCGTTAGTCGTCATGCATCTTATTTATCACACGCGCACAGCATACAGAGAACCTGTTTTGAGGAGCAGAATGGCCTATCACCTGTCAGACAGCGCGAGAGCAGCTCCTCAAAAAGCTGGTACTGGAGTGAAACAGGCTTTTATAAGGCCAGTCATTTTGCCAGAATTAACACACGATTGCATTTAGAATTGTTAACTGTTTTGATGGCCACGATTTTAAAAAGGGCTGTTTTTATTTCTTAACTCGTAATTAAAGCGGGCCTGCCATTCGAGTGCATAGGCTATTGTCAACGATAGGCAAGCTATCAGCGCATCACCCACCACTTTACAGTGAGCTTGAGGCAGTATAGTTGTTTGAAACCTGAACTTTTGACTACTTCAAAAAATGAGTCTTAACTTGCTTCAAAGTAACCTAGCCAAAATCCAACCATATAAATGTGGAGGCAAGACTTCCTCAGGCCATTTTAACCAGCATTTCTCTCCTGAAGAAGGGATGTGTGAAGAAAAGAGAAAATGGGAGAGGGACAGAGGATGGGAAATGCAGATGGATGAAGTGAAGAGGACGATGAGAGGAACAGACGGAAAGGAAGAAAGAAGAGGGGGAGTGAACAGTGGAGGAGAGATGTCAAAGGATGTGGGTGTGTGAGGGCAAGCTGTGAGTCTGGGACAGACCGAGGAGAGGGAGGCTGAGAGCAGCTGTACTGCAGTGCAGAACACCCAGTACTCTGTATGTGTGTATTTCCTCTGTTTTATGGAGATAACCTGATCCTAGGTCTTTCCTTTGGCTGGATTATATTACTCCAATAAAAAGAGGAGGAATCCATTGAGTTCTTCCATCCTTTTTGCAGATTCCACATCCTCTGTATCCTACCGCTCTCTCACGTCTTGCTGCTTTTACTCCTTCACCCACTCCCCTTTGCTCCTGACATCATCTCTTTTTACATCCCCCGCTTTACTTTTCTCCCTCCATCTCTTTGTCTCCCTCTGGTCTGGCAGAGATCAGCTGTCTCAAGGCTCTGCTTAGATCAGGCAGGATTGACTTTGGCATCCCTCTTTCTTTCCCTCCATCACTCCTCTCGCTCCCCTTCGATCTCCCTTTTTGTTCCCCTGCTCTAGTCTGTTTTCACACACTCTGAGATTGTGCTTCCACTGCTGCCACTAGGGACACCTTGGCAGGACAGCTTTCCACAGCAAAATGGTATCGGTGCATAAATGGGGTGCAAAATGGTACAGCAGAGGTTAGCCTTACTGTTACGGTTTCTAACGGCAGCCTAAAGAAAGGGGATCAAAAAATGAAGGCAAGTGGTCACCAAACGGCCGATCGGCATTCCTAGTCAATTGCGTAACATTTCTATAAAAAACCTAACGAAAAAACCTTGCATTCCTACTATTTTCTGTCTACCGCTGTTGGTAATAGGTGCACTTGTTTCAGCTGCCCTGCGCAGCTGGTAGGCGACGCGTTCCCATTTTGAACCATTTCATTGTGTACAAACTCTGCCTCGTCGGCGTGCCCGGAGAGCAAATCAAGTGTACCTACAGGCCTACCGCTAGCCAGTCGGATTGCTCAGATCAGTGTGTGCAGCTAAACTAAACGTAATTCAAATACTTTGTTTCCTAACTTTGCGTCGTCTTCAGTCCAGCCAGAGTCCGTCGAAGAACAGGAAGTGACCAAACCACAGAAGATGATTACTGTGGTTTTTGGTGACGGCTTTATGGGATAACTAGCAACTTGTAAACAATGACCCATTCCTGTAAGTGAGTGCTATTTTAATGGTAATGTTAAATAATAGGCTACACGTTGGCTGTTAAGCAAATTGACTGTTGCCTCCCATTTTAAGTTTATTGGGATGTAATGACGTTTTGTTATTGATGATAATTATTAGGTGGAGGTCGCTAGCTACAGTGGGTATCTCCAACCTAGCCTAGCTTTTAGCTAGCTAGCTGCTCTGCAAGCTAGCTTGACTTGCTATAAAGTTAGAGAAACAAATTGAGGAAAAAGTAATAAACAAAGCATGTTTTATCACCTGAAACAATATATTTCTGTCTTGAATGAAAAGGTCATGTTTTGCAATCTCCCAAAATAGATGCGATCTCTGACGAGCGACAGGTTCTCCTCCATCTTGCGTTACAAAGACTTCACTGTGACGTGTCTGGGGGAAACCCAGACACATCACATGGGCTATGAAGTTGAAGCATCAGTTTAGAAAGTTTTCTCACCCTCAAATATGGTAGTGGGAGGAAGTCCAGTAGTGGGAGAAGATGGAACGAGGTGAAACTGGGCTGACATTCTGCTCATTTTGTCATTGATGAAACATCTGATCTCAATACATTTTCCTGTTCCCAAAACTATACTGAAAAAATATGTATAAACACAACATGTAAAGTGTTGGTCTCGTTTTTTCATGAGCTGAAATGAAAAATCCCAGAAATGTCATGCGCACAAAAAGCTTATTTCTCTCAAATTTTGTGCACAAATTTGTTTACATCCCTGTTAGTGATCATTTCTCCTTTGCCAAGATAATCCATCCACCTTACAGGTGTGGAATATCAAGAAGCTGATTAAACAGAATGATCGTTAGACAGGTGCACCTTGTGCTGGGGATAATAAAAGGCCACTCTAAAATGTGCAGTTTTGTCACAGAACACAATGCCACAGATGTCTCAAATTTTGAGGGAGTGTGCAATTGGCATGCTGACTGCAGTAATGCCCACCAGAGCTGTTGCCGGAGAATAGAATGTTCATTTCTCTACCATAAGCCGCCTCCAACATTGTTTTTAGGGAATTTGGCAGTACATCCAACCGGCCTCACAACCGCAGACAACGTGTAACCACGCCAGCCCAGAGCCTTCACATCCTGCTTCTTCACCTGTGGGATGGTCTGAGATGAGCCACCCGGACAACTGATGAAAGAATTTCTGCACAAACTGTCAGAAACCGCCTCAGGGAAGCTCATCTGCGTACTCGTCGTCCTCACCAGGGTCTTGACCTGACTGCAGTTAGGCGTCGTAACCGACTTCAGTGGGCAAATTATCACCTTCAATGGCCACTGGCACACTGGAGAAGAGTGGTCTTCACGGATGAATCCCAGTTTCATCTGTACCGGGCAGATGGCAGACGTATGGCATTGTGTGGGCGAGCGGTTTTCTGATGTCTATGTTGTGAACAGAGTGCCCCATGGTGGCGTTGGGGTTATGTTATGGGAAGGCATAAGCTACGGACAACAAACACAATTGCATTTTATCGATCCTGAGGCCCATTGTCATGCCATTCATCCGCCGCCATCACCTCGTTTCAGCATGATAATGCATGGCCCCATGTCGCAAGGATATGTACACAATTCCTGGAAGCTGACAATGTTCCAGTTTTTCCATGGCCTGCATACTCACCAGACATTTCAACCATTGAGCATGTTTGGGAACTCTAGATCAATGTGTACGACAGCGTGTTCCAGTTCCCGCCAATATCCAGCAACTTCACACAGCCATTGAAGAGTGGGACAACATTTTACAGGCCATAATCAACAGCCTGATCAACTCAATGCGAAGGAGATGTGTCGTGCTGCATGAGGCAAATGGTGGTCACACCAGATACTGACTGGTTTTCTGATCCACAACCTACTCTTACATTATTTTTTTTAAGGTATCTGTGACCAACAGACGCATATCTGTGTTCCCAGTCATGCGAAGACCATAGATTAGGGCCTGATTTAATTTATTTCAATTTACTGATTTCCTTCTATGAACTGTAACTCGGTAAAGTCTTTGAAATTGTTGCATGTTGCGTTTTTATTTTTGTTCAGTGTAGAATTTGTTACGAACACAGTGCGCTAAGTTTCATAGATTTAACGCTTTGTGTTTAGGAGTGCAAGGTTGAATTGAGTTTGCACTTCACAGAGAAAATATGCAAATACATGCTACAACGCGCCAATAGGATCTCGCTAGCTTGTGCTTGGCTTCGTCCACCACCTTGCTAATTCTGCTTCATTTGCTGCTACTGTAAACGACACAGATGAACTATCTTGGTTTAGTGAATATAAATATATTTGCTACATTTATCTGTTCAGTAGCGGGGCAAGCCTCCGTGAAGATGGTGTACGGCGTAATGAAATATGTCACTGTGTACCGAGCATTCGCAGAGGGGGAGAGCTGAAGGGCGGTCCGACTTTGAGAGGCGGACCATCAGATGCAGACACCATCAGTCCAGTAAAATAAAGAAAGCAAACTATTTCAGTTTTATGCTCATTTAGCTGTGCGTCACAAGTAATACAATAAATGATGATCTATTACCAGTGTGATCATATACCTAATGTTTTGAAATATATAATTTTGATATGGTTTGATAAGAACAACATTGGCAGGGCAATTCAAGCATAGCCAACAGACAGTGATAATGTATTGGGCCTATAGCCTACTGCACAAACCTCATTTCTCCAGAACTGCTTTAAATAGGTTGTTGCATAGGCTTACTTTTTTTAAGTCATGTTAAAACATTTTATCTGAGCGGTAGAGCTAGGCCTGCATTTTGACTCTAAGTGATCTCGGCTCAGAAAAGTTTGGTGACCACTGATCTAGGTCTATTTCAAGAGCAGGTTCTAGGCAATGATGTGTATCAACCCTGGCTGACTGACAGGGGGCACTGTATTGAATCCACCGCGCATGGGTACTCTTGTGTTTAGTGGACTTGTGATCTCCAGACTGATGGTGCCATTGGTATGGGAAAAGGGAGATTTGGCAGGTGTGGGAGCTGCTGATCTGGCAACCCTGTTCTCAATCTTCTCCACACTGCCAAAGGTGCAGAGATGAGGCAAGGACAGTGAAACTAAAAACGTCAGCTGAAAATGGCACACTGGCGTTCTCTCGCTCGATGACAAAGGGATATGGTGTTTCATCATTAGCCCTCCATCCCTTTTGTGTCTCAGAGATGCCAGGTGTGCAACCTAGCCTGTTTGGTCTATGTTCGTTACAATCTTTTCACCAATGTCCATTTGCTCCTCATTTCGTTGCAGCCTTTGTCTCCGTTAGGCTCCAACATGGCTGCCCATATTCACTATAAACTGGGTGAATCCAGTCTAATTGACTTACCAGCGTCTTCATGAGTTTGATGATAATGATATTTTTGGTTTATCTGTCAGTAATCCTCAATCTGTGGCCCTCTCTCGCCCCCTGCAGGCCAAGTCGTGTATCTGTCACATGTGCGGCACCCACCTGAACCGGCTCCACTCCTGTCTGTCCTGTGTCTTCTTTGGCTGCTTCACCAAGAAACACATCCACGAGCACGCCAAAAACAAACGACACAATCTAGGTAAGATGCACACAAGCACGACAACCGACACAACCCTGCTTATGAGAACATCACAGCAAAGAGCTCACCGTCCTATCTTGGGCGGGGCTGTAGTGTAGCTCCTCCTCCATAGCCCACAGCCTGAGTCCCACCGTCTCAGCCCTGCCCTCACAGAGAGGAGAGGCCATAGAACATCTGCTCTGCTCCACTGCCTCAGTCTCCTAACTCGTTCATATTCAACACATCAGACCTGTCCATCACCATCAGCACCACCACAACACTCACGCCCACTGCCAGGTCTCCCACCTACCTCCCCCTGAAACATCAAAGACTCCTAATTATTCCCTCCGCTTAATGAGGTAGGCCTCGGCCGCCCCTCCGCCTCCTCTACTCACACAAGTAGCTAATTGTACTGTTGTGGAGGAGGGTAATAGAGCACCCAGCCTGCTTCATGAAGCAGACTGTAAATAAACACACTGTACCCTTTTGTTCTCCTCAAGGGAAAGCATGAAGACGAGAGACACCACTGCTTTTTTATTTGCGGCAAAACCTCAAATGATCACCCAGAGACCCCATGGCATGCTGAATGTGTCAACACACTTTGTTTGGTTGTTGTTACCGCTGTTGCCGGCAAATCACCAACTCATTATGGAACATAATCACAACACAATGCAACACTCCAGGACTATTCCCCAGGGGCTATTGAACGTCACCTGTGAATTTGGTCACACCTAGACACTAGGCACCAATGAGTTGGTTGCTGCAGCTTTGTTGCACCAAAGTGCCTGAGTAGGTCAGTGCATTAGCCTTGGCCTCGTCCTTTTATCAATAATGTGGGGGCGACTGCACTGCAACACTAAGTAATGGGCCTCCGGCTCGGAGCTAGGATAGGATATACACTCGCTGGACAGTTTATTAGGTACACTCATCTAGTGCAGGCTCGGATCGACCTTTTGCCTCCAGAACAGCCTGAATTCTTCGGCGCATGGATTTTACAAGTCGGAAACGTTCCACAGGGATGTTGGTCCATGCTGACGCGATTGCATCACGCAGTTTCTGCAGATTGGACGGCGGTACACCACCGCCACCAGCCTGTACTGTTGACACCAGGTAGGATGGGTCCATGGACTCATACTGCTTACGCCAAATTCTGACTCTGCCTGGTGCGTCATGCTGATGGCAATGTTTTTCCACTCCTGAATTGTCCAGTATTGGTGATCGCATGCCCAATGGAGACTCTTCTTCTTGTTTTTAGCTGATAGGAGTGGAACCCGGTGTGGTAGTCTGTTGCAATAGCCCATCCGTGACAAGGATCGACAGGTTGTGCATTCCGAGATGCTGTTCTGCACACCACTGTTGTCCTGTACCGTTATTTGTCTGTTTGTGACCCGCCTGTTAGCTTGCACGATTCTTGCCGTTCTCCTTCGACCTCTCTCATCAACAAGCAGTTTTCACCCACTGGACTGCCGCTGACTGGATGTTTTTTGTTTGTTGCACCAGTCTCTGTAAACCCCAGACACTGTTGTGCATGAAAAGCCCAGGAGGGCAGCCAGTTTCTGAGATACTGGATCCGGCGTGGCTGGCACTGACGAGCATACGGCGCTCAGTCGCTTAGGTCACTCGTTTTGCCCATTCTAATGTTCAATCGAACAGTAACTGAATTCCTCGACGCCTGTCTGCCTGCTTTATATAGCAAGCCACAGCCACGTGACTAACTGTCTGTAGGAGCGATCCCTTTCTGTGAATGGGGTGGTGTACCTAGTAAACTGTCCACTGAGTGTGTGAGTGTATAGCTTTTCTCTTCCCAATATAGGGAATAATGGACTAAAAGTTATTGTGTCGTGTTTAGATGTAGTAATGCTTGTTAGGGGGATGATCTAGGCTAGTGTTAGTGATGCGGCAGTGCAGGCTTCCCATGTGCTTGGCAACACAGTCAGTTCAGTGTTATCTCGTAGCCCAGGCCCGTGTGTGCGCGCTCCCTCCCAGCCCCTCTGGAGAGTAATTAGGGTGTTAATTAGTTTAGCTACTGAATACAAATGTGCCAGCGTACAGATAGATTTACGCTACAGCAGCAGCAGAAGAAAAGGACAGATCTCACTAGACTAGTGTGCAGGGTAATTAACACCTCTTCATAAACGCTACAGAATTAAATTAAAGATATTCCTTCTCTTCTGGATCATACACTCCGTTTTCCTTTCATTTTCATTTTTTTCTTCCTTTCAGATATTTGGTTATTCTATTTTAGCTCATGTTATGTTTTGTCTTCTTTCTCTCCTTCCCTCTTCTGGGTTCCCATGGTTACCTGAAGGTCCGTGGGTTTATTTTAGTTTTAGGCTCCTCTCCAGCAATAAGTCTGGTCTCACCTTGTTACGCAACTCTGTTCGTTCTCTCTCCTGGTCTTATTGTGCCTTTTTAACAGCGTGGCTGTCATTCAATCTGGGGCCTAAGGCTAGTGTTTCGCTCTCTCTGTCCTGTTTCTGTGATCGATTAGGGAGTCGCCTCCCTCGTTGATGTGACAATCTACAGGGAAGTTCTCTTTTCACTACAATATCCACGGTGTATTGCATCTGTAAAACAAACAGTTTTTTTTATTTATTTTGGTGTGAATTGAGTCTACAGGCAGACTAGATGTTCTTGTATTTGCTATCAGCTACAGCTTGGTACTGACCCACCTGTACCTGCAGGGCCCAGCCTGACATTTCAATACATTCAGTCACACCAGTCAACACCATATCGTATCTAAACCACATGAATACTGTAATTAATCATTCGGGTGACCATTTACACACACACACACACACACACACACACACACACACCCTGCATGCCCCTTGCTCTCTCGACATACACCTGATGCTCATAACGTCTGCCTCAAGCAGACAATTGAATAGGCAGGTTGTCATGGGAACTGCCAACAGCTATTGGCGCTGCGGTCGCTGAAAAGGTGAGGAGGATATGGTGGATAGAGAGGTGGATCTCTCCCTCTGTCTGTGTGGGTACCTGCATGCATGGTCGTCGACTGGACTCCCATTTCTCTCACTGTCTTTTTCGACTGTGCTAGGGGTGTTAGTAGAAAAGTAAAGATGTCAGCACGTAAGCTGTCCTTGCAGAGGTATAGAACGTGTTCAGGAGGACAAGAAGAGGACTAGCTAGCTGCATACCCACCTTTCTCAACAACTACCTTGAGGGCTATAAATTTGTTGAATGTTCCAACATAGCCTTGAGCTTATTCCTTCCTTCCTCCTCCCATCTCTAATTTCTTCCTCTCTCTCTCTTTTTCTCTTCCAGCTATAGATCTATTGTACGGCGGGATATACTGCTTTGTGTGCCAAGACTACATATATGACAAAGACATGGAACAGATTGCCAAAGAGGAACAAAGGAAAGTGTGGAAGTTGCAAGGTAGGTTCTTTCCCTTATTCAATCCCTCAGTAGGGCCCTCTGGCTTGCAACATAGCACACTGACACCTCAGCTATAGGTGCAGCTTTAGGGATCCACAGTGTAGTTCATTAAGGCACCTCTCGTTGTGTTAAAGAACACCCATATTCCCTAAAAGATTCCACTGCCTTGGGCCATGTATGTTTCCATATTTTGTATTCCCTTCCGCTTTGGCTTATGGTTCAGCTACCTGGCTTGTTAAATATAAGTCCCCACATCCACTCTCTCCGCTCTGCACTCGTTTAAAAAAAAAAATGTTTTAATTCCTGTCGTTTGTGTTTGTGTCAGGTGTAGGGGAGAAGTATTCGACGTGGGAGCCCACCAAGCGAGAGCTGGAGCTGCTGCGGCACAATCCAAAGCGCCGGAGAATAACGTCAAACTGCACCATCGGTGAGGGCACCTCCAGCGCTGCACAGGCTGGCTACAGCAAGAGTTGTCTTGTGCCTGGTCGGAAAAACAAACCGTAGTCTCTTACCCTGGTCCCTTATCCTAGCTCCTTACCCTGGTCCCTTATCCTAGCTCCTTACCCTGGTCCCTTATCCTAGCTCCTTACCCTGGTCCCTTATCCTAGCTCCTTACCCTGGTCCCTTATCCTAGCTCCTTACCCTGGTCCCTTATCCTAGCTCCTTATCCTGGTCCCTTACCCTGGTCCCTTATCCTAGCTCCTTACCCTGGTCCCTTATCCTGGTACCTTATCCTAGCTCCTTATCCTGGTCCCTTATCCTAGCTCCTTACCCTGGTCCCTTATCCTAGCTCCTTATCCTGGTCCCTTACCCTGGTCCCTCATCCTAGCTCCTTACCCTGGTCCCTTATCCTAGCTCCTTATCCTGGTCCCTTATCCTAGCTCCTTATCCTGGTTCCTTATCCTAGCTCCTTACCCTGGTACCTTATCCTAGCTCCTTACCCTGGTCCCTTATCCTAGCTCCTTACCCTGGTACCTTATCCTAGCTCCTTACCCTGGTCCCTTATCCTAGCTCCTTACCCTAGGCTCTCCCCTTTCTGTGTTTCCAAATCTGAAGAAACCCAATGATGGGATAAGCGATATAGCAGAAGGAAGTTATAATGTTTGGTGGAGCCATTGCCATATTGAACACACCAGACCTGCAAACACAGAAGGGTTAGAGGAAGGAGGCAGACTAACGCAACCCTGGTCTGCATTTCTCTACATGGGTGTAGGTCATTCCCTATGAGGTTCAATGTGATGACCGCAGCTGCAGTGCAGACTGTGGGTGTATGGAGCACGTGGGTGGATAGAACCCCCAGTCTCTCCTGGGGGGGGGGGGGGGGATCTGAGTTTTATGAAGTGCTTTCCAGTGGGGAAATAAGACCAACCTATCCTCTCCTCTTTTTTTTCCATCGCCCTCTCATTCACACCCCTCCTCCACACAGCTAGGGAGCAGCTCTGCTCAGACTGAGATGTAGAATGAATGGTGTTAAACAGCATCGCTGCAGGCTACTGCTAACCGCTCGCTGTCCCTCTGCTCTCCTCTCCTCTCTCTATGCTAAATGTAATGAGGTTGGAAGAGATGAAAAAGCCCAACTCTAAATGTCTTTTTGTCAAGCTGCCTGTGTGTGGCTGAGTCAAAGTACATTGAACCTGATTGAAGCCTATGTGACACACAGAGAATGGTGCATGATGGGGAATGTATTCATGTCCAGAAGGCAGAAGCCTCCGCTCTCTGACAGGATCTGCTTGTCTCCTCTTCCCTCTTTTCTTTTAACTAAACTCACAGGGTTGTAGCGTGAGCAGGTGGTCAGGAACAACGGGTTTGGAGCATGTCCAGGCTTCAGAGCATGGCATTTTAGCGTGTGTCTGTGCAAGAGAGAGACAAATATTCAGTAGTATGTTATCGATCAGGGGTTTATGAAGTGGGGAAAATGACCTTCCTTTCTCACCCCTCTCTTTCTCACCCCTCCTCCACACAGCTAGGGAACAGCTCAGAGATGGAGAATGAATGGTGTTAAACAGCATCGCTGCAGCCTACTGCTAGCTGCTAACCACTCGCGTTCTCTCTGCGTTCTCTCTCTATCTGTGTCTCTCTCTCTCTCTCTCGGTGAGAAATATAAAATGTGAATTTTAATTTTTTGTCATGATGCCCTCTTGCCCCCGTAGGTGACACACACAGAGAATGGGGTTTGTGTCCGGAAGGCAGCGAACTCCTCGCTCTTGTCTCAACCCTCCTCTCCAGCCCCCCTCATTTTCCCTCCATCCCTCTTTTTCTTGTAACTAAACTTCTAGCGTGAGCAGCTGGTCAGGGCCAACGTGTGTGGCGCGTGTGCCTGATCTCACCTGTCAGGGTCTCCCATCTCTGTGGGTCTCTTACCCTGTTGTCCTCCTGCCAGTGTGGGGCTGCTGTGTTCACTTCAACCTTCCTCTAGGGACCACTGTGGCCATCTGTGATAGTGTGGCCTACACTGGTTCTCATTTACTGTGGTGGTTTAGGCACTGGAAATTATATTCAAGATGGGTTTTCTCTCTGTTTCTAAGTGTCTCGCTCTCTCTCTCTCGCTGTCTCTCTCTCTCTCTCTCTCTCTCAATGTGTCTCTGTCTCTCGCTGTCTCTCTGTCTCTCTCTCTCGGTGTCTCTCTCTCTCTCTGTCTCCCTCAGGTCTTCGAGGTCTGATCAACCTGGGCAACACGTGTTTTATGAACTGCATCGTCCAGGCCCTCACCCACACACCCCTGCTGCGGGACTTCTTCCTGTCCGACAGACACAAGTGTGAGATGCAGTCCAACTCCTGTCTGGTGTGTGAGATGTCACAGCTCTTTCAGGAGGTAAGGGGTTAAAAATATATCTCTCTTTCAGTCTCACACGTTCTCCTACCTCTTTCTCTCTCAGCCCACCTCTACAGCTGTCTAACCTCTTCTAAATCGTTCATCCGTCTCAGCCCAACTACACTCTCTCTTCTTCTCTCCCTCTAAAACCATATCTAAAACCATTATTGTGGACGTACTTAGTACGTAGTATGGTTTAAGTGCCTGTTTCATCTCCAACCTTTTCTCTCTCCTTGTTTTCCCTTACTTTCTTTCCCTCTCTTCATCCCCCATCTATTTGTCCCATTTTTATCTGTCCCTCTTTTCCACATACTCTGCCTCTCCTCCTAACGTTTCCCCTTTCTTCCCTGCTCTTTTCCTCCTCTCTCTCTGTCAGTTCTACTCGGGCCACCGTTCGCCCCACATTCCCTTCCGGCTGCTGCACCTGGTGTGGACTCACGCGCGCCACCTAGCAGGCTACGAGCAGCAGGATGCCCACGAGTTCCTCATCGCTGCCCTGGATGTGCTGCACCGCCACTGCAAAGGTCTGCATCATAGTACAGGGACAGGGACACACACACACACACACACACTACATTATAAGCCTTAGACCTACCTTGTGTATACAGTGCATTCGGAAAGTATTCGGAACCCTTGACTTTTCCCACATTTAGTTACATTTACAGCCTTATTATTAAATTTTATTTTTTCTCAGCAATCTACACACAATACCCCATAATGACAAAGCTAATTTCTTAGAAATAAAAAACCGGAAATGTTACATTAGTAATCAGACCCTTTACTCAGTACTTTGTTGAAGCACCTTTGGCAGCGATTATAGCCTCAAGTCTTCTTGGGTATGACGCTACAAGCTTGGCACACCTGTATTTGGGGAGTTTCTCTCATTCTTCTCTGCAGATCCTCTCAAGCTCTGTCAGGTTGGATGGGGAGCGTCGCTGCACAGCTATTTTCAGGTCTCTCCAGAGATGTTCGATTGGGTTCGGGCTCTGGCTGGGCCACTCAAGGACATTCAGAGACTTGTCCCGAAGCCACTCCTGCGTTGTCTTGGCTGTGTGCTTAGGGTCGTTGTCCTGTTGGAAAGTGAACGTTCGCCCCCAGTCTGATGTCCTGAGTGCCCAGGTGCAGGTTTTCATCAAGGATCTCTCTGTACTTTTCTCCGTTCATCTTTCCCTGGATCCTGACTAGTCTCCCAGTACCTGCCGCTGAAAAACATCCCCACAGCATGTTGCTGCCACCACCATGCTTCACCGTAGGGATGGTGCCAGGTTTCCTCCAGATGTGACGCTTGACATTCAGTCCAAAGAGTTCAATGTTGGTTTCATCAGACCAGAGAATGTTGTTTCTCATGGTCTGAGAGTCCTTTAGGTGCCTTTTGGCAAACTCCAAGCGGGCTGTCATGTGCCTTTTATTGAGGAGTGGCTTCCGTCTGGCCGCTCTACCATAAAGGCCTGATTGGTGGAGTGCTACAGAGATGGATGTTCTTCCATCTCCACAGAGAAACTCTGGAGCTCTGTCAGTGACCATCGGGTTCTTGGTCTTGGTGGTTCCAAACTTCTTCCATTTAAGAATGATGGAGGCCACTGTGTTCTTGGGGACCTTCAATGCTGCAGAAATGTTTTTGTACCATTCCCCAGATCTGTGCTTCGACCAAATCCTGTCTCGGAGCTCTACGGACAATTCCTTTGACCTAATGGCTTGGTTTTTGCTCTGACATGCACTGTCAACTGTGGGACCTTTTTATATAGACAGGTGTGTGCCTTTCCAAATCAATTGAATTTACCACAGGTGGACTCCAATCAAGTTGTAGAAACATCTCAAGGACGATCAATGGAAACAGGATGCACCTGAGCTCAAGTTCGACTCTCACAGCAAAGGGTCTGAATACTTAAGTAAATAAGGTATATCTGTTTTTTCTGAATGCTCTATATATACATGGGCAGAGACACTTACACACACACACACACACACACACACACACACACACACACACACATTGTAGAAAGTAGACTCCTCTACTCAAATGGCACCCACACTCTACTTAAGCCGCAGTCAAAGGGTGGGAGGAAAAGCAGGAATGTAAGAGAGGGGGTGAGACTGAACTACAGAGGAGGAGAATGAGGGGACATGGCTGTGCTGGTCTGCTAACTAACTGCCTGGATGAGATGAGGCTACTGACTGACTGACTACCTGGATGAGATGAGATTACTAACTGACTGACTACCTAGATGAGATGAGGCTACTGACTGACTGACTACCTGGATGAGATGAGGCTACTGACTGACTGACTACCTGGATGAGATGAGGCTACTAACTGACTGACTACCTGGATGAGATGAGGCTACTGACTGACTGACTACGTGGATGAGATGAGGCTACTGACTGACTGACTACCTGGATGAGATGAGGCTACTGACTGACTGACTACCTGGATGAGATGAGGCTACTAACTGACTGACTACCTGGATGAGATGAGATTACTAACTGACTGACAGCCTGAATGAGATTACTAACTGACTGACTACCTGGATGAGATGAGGCTACTAACTGACTGACTACCTGGATGAGATGAGATTGCTAACTGACTGACTACCTGGATGAGATGAGATTACTAACTGACTGACAGCCTGAATGAGATGATATTACTAACTGACTGACAGCCTGAATGAGATGAGGCTACTAACTGACTGACTGCCTGAATGAGATGAGGCTACTGACTGACTGACAGCCTGAATGAGATGAGGCTACTGACTGACTGACAGCCTGAATGAGATGAGGCTACTGACTGACTGACAGCCTGAATGAGATGAGGCTACTGACTGACTGACAGCCTGAATGAGATGAGGCTACTGACTGACTACCTGGATGAGATGAGGCTACTGACTGACTACCTAGATGAGATGAGGCTACTGACTGACTACCTAGATGAGATGAGGCTACTGACTGACTACCTAGATGAGATGAGGCTGCTAACTGACTGACTACCTAGATGAGATGAGGCTACGAACTGACTGACTACCTGGTTGAGATGAGGCTACTAACTGACTGACTACCTAGATGAGATGAGGCTACGAACTGACTGACTACCTGGATGAGATTACTAACTGACTGACTACCTGGATGAGATGAGGCTACTAACTGACTGACTACCTGGATGAGATGAGATTACTAACTGACTGACAGCCTGAATGAGATTAGATTACTAACTGACTGACAGCCTGAATGAGATGAGATTACTAACTGACTGACAGCCTGAATGAGATGAGGCTACTAACTGACTGACTACCTGGATGAGATGAGATTACTAACTGACTGACTACCTGGATGAGATGAGGCTACTAACTGACTGACAACCTGGATGAGATGAGGCTACTAACTGACTAACAGCCTGGATGAGATTACTAACTGACTGACTACCTAGATTAGATGAGGCTACTGACTGACTACCTGGATGAGATGAGGCTACTAACTGACTGACTACCTAGATGAGATGAGGCTACTAAATGACTGACTACCTAGATGAGATGAGGCTACTAACTGACTGACAGTCTGAATGAGATGAGGCTACTAACTGACTGACAGCCTGAATGAGATGAGGCTACTAACTGACTGACTACCTGGATGAGATAACTAACTGACTGACTACCTGGATGAGATGAGGCTAACTGACTGACTACTTAGATTAGATGAGGCTACTGACTGACTACCTGGATGAGATGAGGCTACTAACGGACTGACTACCTAGATGAGATGAGGCTACTAACTGACTGACTACCTAGATGAGATGAGGCTACTAACTGACTGACAGCCTGAATGAGATGAGGCTACTAACTGACTGACTACCTGGATGAGATGAGATTACTGACTGACAGCCTGAATGAGATGAGATTACTAACTGACTGACAGTCTGGATGAGATGAGATTACTAACTGACAGACATCCTGGATGAGATGAGATTACTAACTGACTGACATCCTGAATGAGATGAGGCTACTAACTGACTGACTACCTAGATGAGATGAGGCTACTAACTGACTGACTACCTAGATGAGATGAGGCTACTAACTGACTGACTACCTAGATGAGATGAGGCTACTAACTGACTGACTACCTAGATGAGATGAGGCTACTGACTGACTACCTGGATGAGATGAGGCTACTAACTGACTGACAGCCTGAATGAGATGAGGCTACTAACTGACTGACAGCCTGGATGAGATTACTAACTGACTGACTACCTGGATGAGATGAGATTACTAACTGACAGACATCCTGGATGAGATGAGATTACTAACTGACTGACTACCTGGATGAGATGAGATTACTAACTGACTGACTACCTAGATGAGATGAGGCTACTGACTGACTACCTGGATGAGATGAGGCTACTACCTGACTGACAGCCTGAATGAGATGAGGCTACTAACTGACTGACAGCCTGGATGAGATTACTAACTAACTGACTGACTACCTAGATTAGATGAGGCTACTGACTGACTACCTGGATGAGATGAGGCTACTAACTGACTGACTACCTAGATGAGATGAGGCTACTAAATGACTGACTACCTAGATGAGATGAGGCTACTAACTGACTGACAGTCTGAATGAGATGAGGCTACTAACTGACTGACAGCCTGAATGAGATGAGGCTACTAACTGACTGACTACCTGGATGAGGTTACTAACTGACTGACTACCTGGATGAGATGAGGCTACTAACTGACTGACTACCTAGATGAGATGAGGCTACTAAATGACTGACTACCTAGATGAGATGAGGCTACTAACTGACTGACTACCTAGATGAGATGAGGCTACTAACTGACTGACTACCTAGATGAGATGAGGCTACTAACTGACTGACAGCCTGAATGAGATGAGGCTACTAACTGACTGACTACCTGGATGAGATGAGATTACTGACTGACAGCCTGAATGAGATGAGATTACTAACTGACTGACAGCCTGGATGAGATTACTAACTGACTGACATCCTGGATGAGATGAGATTACTAACTGACTGACATCCTGAATGAGATGAGGCTACTAACTGACTGACTACCTGGATGAGATGAGATTACTAACTGACTGACTACCTAGATGAGATGAGGCTACTAAATGACTGACTACCTAGATGAGATGAGGCTACTAAATGACTGACTACCTAGATGAGATGAGGCTGCTAACTGACTGACTACCTAGATGAGATGAGGCTACTAACTGACTGACTACCTAGATGAGATGAGGCTACTAACTGACTGACAGCCTGAATGAGATGAGGCTACTAACTGACTGACAGCCTGAATGAGATGATATTACTAACTGACTGACAGCCTGAATGAGATGATATTACTAACTGACTGACAGCCTGAATGAGATGAGGCTACTAACTGACTGACTACCTGGATGAGATGAGGCTACTGACTGACTGACAGCCTGAATGAGATGAGGCTACTAACTGACTGACTACCTGGATGAGATGAGGCTACTAACTGACTACCTAGATGAGATGAGGCTACAAACTGACTACCTAGATGAGATGAGGCTACTGACTGACTACCTAGATGAGATGAGGCTACTAACTGACTGACTACCTAGATGAGATGAGGCTACGAACTGACTGACTACCTGGATGAGATGAGGCTACTAACTGACTGACTACCTAGATGAGATGAGGCTACGAACTGACTGACTACCTGGATGAGATTACTAACTGACTGACTACCTGGATGAGATGAGGCTACTAACTGACTGACAACCTGGATGAGATGAGATTACTAACTGACTGACAGCCTGAATGAGATTAGATTACTAACTGACTGACAGCCTGAATGAGATGAGATTACTACCTGACTGACAGCCTGAATGAGATGAGGCTACTAACTGACTGACTACCTGGATGAGATGAGATTACTAACTGACTGACTACCTGGATGAGATGAGGCTACTAACTGACTGACTACCTAGATGAGATGAGGCTACTGACTGACTACCTAGATGAGATGAGGCTACTAACTGACTGACTACCTAGATGAGATGAGGCTACTAACTGACTGACTACCTAGATGAGATGAGGCTACTAACTGACTGACAGCCTGAATGAGATGAGATTACTAACTGACTGACAGCCTGAATGAGATGAGGCTACTAACTGACTGACTACCTGGATGAGATGAGATTACTGACTGACAGCCTGAATGAGATGAGATTACTGACTGACTGACTGCCTGGATGAGATGAGATTACTAACTGACTGACATCCTGGATGAGATGAGATTACTAACTGACTGACTACCTAGATGAGATGAGGCTACTAACTGACTGACTACCTAGATGAGATGAGGCTACTAACTGACTGACTACCTGGATGAGATGAGGCTACTAACTGACTGACTACCTGGATGAGATGAGGCTACTAACTGACTGACTACCTGGATGAGATGAGGCTACTAACTGACTGACTACCTGTATGAGATGAGCTACTAACTGACTGACTACCTGGATGAGATGAGGCTACTAACTGACTGACTACCTGGATGAGATGAGATTGCTAACTGACTGACAGCCTGAATGAGATGAGGCTACTAACTGACTGACAGCCTGAATGAGATGAGATTACTAACTGACTGACAGCCTGAATGAGATGAGATTACTAACTGACTGACAGCCTGAATGAGATGAGGCTACTAACTGACTGACTACCTGGGTGAGATGAGGCTACTGACTGACTGACTACCTGGATGAGATGAGGCTACTGACTGACTGACAGCCTGAATGAGATGAGGCTACTGACTGACTGACAGCCTGAATGAGATGAGGCTACTGACTGACTGACAGCCTGAATGAGATGAGGCTACTGACTACCTGGATGAGATGAGGCTACTGACTGACTACCTGGAAGAGATGAGGCTAACTGACTGACAGCCTGAATGAGATGAGATGATATGAGCTGAGAGGCTACTAATTGACACAGTCACTCATTACATAAGCACTGATTGTGTTAGATTGGCTATGTGTCCTCCTCCACCATCCCCCTTTCTCTCACTCCGTCTCTCTGATAATGTGGTAAGGGGGATCTGATAATGTGGTAAGGGGGACAGGAGGGTTTATATGGTAGTTCTCAATTGTGTCCCTGTGCTCACCAAGGAGATGGTAACGGGAAGAAGGCTAACAACCCCAATAACTGCAACTGCATCATCGACCAAATCTTCACTGGAGGCCTGCAGTCTGACGTGACATGTCAAGTCTGCCAGTAAGCTCCTCTCTTCGTGTGTGCTTGTTTGTCAGTGTTTTTTTTTCTTCTATGTTACATTTATGCTTCACCCTTACTTAGTGTGTGTGTGTGTGTGTGTGCTCTTGGTGCATCATGTTTTACATCACTCACTGTCAGTCCTGGTCTGACCCCCTCTCCTCTGCAGTGAGTCAGGGAGAGTGGGACTGATTTGAACAGACAAACACCACCCACTGTTTCACTCCCTCTGCTATAGCAAGTCCCCTACTGGACAGTGGTCTACCCCCACCTGGTGGACACATGGAGCATTACACTATATTAGTTTGATACACTGATATAGAAACATTTGTGCAACATTTTGAATACATGCATACATAGATGCATGCAAACTAATATTGTCAAAGTGTTGTGACTACTTATATGGTGGGGTCATAACATGGTCCCATAGGCTTCAGGTCTGTCAAAGCCCAAACGTTAGTGCCATTCCCTCAGACTCCTCCCCTCTCGTCCTGTAGTGGTGTTTCCACGACGATAGACCCGTTCTGGGATATCAGTCTGGACCTGCCGGGGTCGTCCACACCCTTCTGGCCCCTCAGCCCCGGGGGGGACGGCAGCACACTCAACGGAGAGAGCCACCTCTCAGGGGCCACCACGCTCACAGACTGTCTACGCAGGTATCTCATCCCTTTATCTCGATTTCTCCCTCTATTTCTCTATCCCTCTCTCCATCTATCAGGGGCCACCACTCTGACTGTCTACTCCGGTACCTCATCACGATTCTCCACTTCCTGTTTGTCTCTCTAGTCTGCTGTCCAGCTCTCTCCACATCCAAAGGGGACACCACCAATCTCTTTCACACACACACACTCACCCAAGTGTGTTCTGACCATGGTCCCGTCTTCCGCAGATTTACCCGACCAGAGCACTTGGGGAGCAGCGCCAAGATCAAATGTAGCGGTTGCCATAGTTACCAGGAGTCCACCAAACAGCTGACCATGAAGAAGCTCCCCATTGTGGCGTGTTTCCACCTCAAAGTGAGTGTGTGTGTGTGTGTGTGTGTGTGTGTGTGTGTGTGTGTTTTCTCTGTATTTGTGTAAAAGGTAGTGAGAGCTCCAGGTTTAGTTCCATTTTCCACTTCAAACTCATGTCCTACCACTTATCGCTCTACCCGCTCTCTTTCTTCATCTTATTTTTTTCTCTCGCTCTCCTCTTTCTCTCCTCTCCCCAGCGGTTTGAACACTCGGCGAAGCTGCGGAGGAAGATCCCTACGTACGTCTCCTTCCCCTTAGAACTGGACATGACTCCCTTCATGGCCTCCAGGTCAGTCTGAACAATGAGCCAGTCCCACCGTGGAAGAGATGAGGGCTGCATCTCAATAGTCTGAAGTCACTTCCTCATATTTTCACCAGGTGAAGTCACCAAGTGAAAGTCAGCCCACTGATGGTCTCCTTGCCATGTAGCTTTCACGTGGCAATTCTCAAATCAGTGCTAACGAAGGAAGGAGACAAGGAAAGGAAGCCCCAAGGAAAGGAAGCCCCTTGAGTCAACTGAAATGCAGCCCTGCTCTCTCATAGAATTAAATAGGTGTGTGTATGTGCTGTCAGACCAACCACGCCCATTTTCTGTGTATGTAATTGGTGTGTTAACTTAATTAGCCAAACACGTGTGTGTGTGTGTGTGTGTGTGCGCACGCACACACTAACGCAGAACCCCCTGTGCATATCCCCTGATGCACAGCATGTCAAAACAACACCTGCTGCTGAGGGGGACTCAAATGGATTCAGATCGCTCTCCTCCAGAGAGAAAGAGCGATGCCAGGAACTGCATTAATTAATTGACTGAATGAATGTGTGGGTATGTATGAAAGAGATGCGTTATATTGTTGTGGAGGTGGGAATGTAATCTCTAGGGTTAGTATCTCACCAGGCAGTCAGTCAGGGGCCTCATTAGAAACCGTGCATGGCAGGGTGAGGTGTTAATGTCATAGCGAACTCAACTTCATAGGGGTGCTTTAGGATTCATTGTAATGTACATGTGTGATATTAAAGGGATCGTTCACCCAAATTACAAAATCACATTGGTTTCCTTACCCTGTAAGCAGTCTATGGACAATGTGAGATGGCATTCCATGCTTTGGTTTAGTTTCCCTGGTACTGTTAGCGTTAGCATGTGGAAACAGTGCCAGGGAAACTAAACCAAAGCATGGATTGCCGTCTCACCTTGTCCATAGACTGCTTTACAGGGTAAGGAAACCAAAATGTGATTGTCATTTTGGTGAACTATCCCTAGAGTGAAGTCTAAAGATGGCTTAGTATGACAACCTTTGTTCATCGTTTCTGACATGTTGTCTGTGTGTCTTTCAGTAAAGAGAGTAGGATGAACGGACAGTACCAGCATTCAGTAGACGTGTTCAACAACGACAATAAGTACGTGCACTGTCCCTCTAACAATGGTACTAGATTGCATATAAAGAACAATATAATGACAGTGAATTGGCTCTTATGTTCTCTTTTGCTTTGACTTGAACCAATTCTCACCTATTTTCTGCCTCGCTTCTTATCTCTTTTTCTGTCCCTCCCAGGTATTCTCTGTTTGCGGTGGTCAACCACCAGGGTACTCTGGAAAGCGGTCACTACACCACGTTCATCCGGCAGCACAAGGACCAGTGGTTCAAGTGTGACGACGCCGTCATCACCAAGGCCAGCATCAAGGACGTGTTAGACAGTGAAGGGTAAGCTCTGAAAATATAGCCACAGGAAGTAGGGGTTCTGAGGGTGCTGCAGCACCCCCTGAATTTTTTTTTGGGGGGTGAATATTAAACATCAATTTTTTGAAAAATACAAATTGTTCACAAAAGTAGTACACTGGGCTTTTACTAGTATTAGCGGACCGATATAGACGTCTGTAGCGTGGGCGTTTCTTTGTTGTTGCAGCATCTCTGCTTTGCCAAAAAAAAGGTAGTTGTATGATTAAGAACAGTAAGATTCAATAATTGGAATTGTAAGAGTTGTTGCCCTGTCCCTTTCTCTGCAATTGTCATTCTAATGGGATCCAGAAAGAGCAAAATCATGTCCTCAAACATTGACATAAAAATTTGCAAAGTTATGGGCAAAGACCCAAAACATCCACATCAAATTAAATATTTTTCTTGATCAAATATATCAAGCAAGTATTTGTATATGTCACAAGTATTATCCAGAAAATCACATTGTATGATTTTAAAGTAATTAATTTGCATTTTATTGCATTACATAAGTATTTGATACATCAGAAAAGCAGAACTTAATATTTGGTACAGAAACCTTTGTTTGCAAATACAGAGATCATACGTTTCCTGTAGGTCTTGACCAGGTTTGCACAAATTGCAGCAGGGATTTTGGCCCACTCCTCCATACAGACCTTCTCCAGATCCTTCAGGTTTCTGGGCTGTCGCTGGGCAATACAGACTTTCAGCTCCCTCCAAAGATTTTCTATTGGGTTCAGGTCTGGAGACTGGCTAGGCCACTCCAGGACCTTGAGATGCTTCTGGCTGTGTGTTTCGGGTCGTTGTCATGCTGGAAGACCAAGCCACGACCCATCTTCAATGCTCTTACTGAGGGAAGGAGGTTGTTGGCCAAGATCTTGCGATACATGGACCCATCCATCCTCCCCTCAATACGGTGCAGTCGTCCTGTCCCCTTTGCAGAAAAGCATCCCCAAAGAATGATGTTTCCACCTCCATGCTTCACTGTTGGGATGGTGTTCTTGGGGTTGTACTCATCCTTCTTCTTCCTCCAAACACGGCGAGTGGAGTTTAGACCAAAAAGCTCTATTTTTGTCTCGTCAGACCACATGACCTTCTCCCATTCCTCCTCTGGATCATCCAGATGGTCATTGGCAAACTTCAGACGGGCCTGGACATGCGCTGGCTTGAGCAGGGGGACCTTGCTTGCGCTGCAGGATTTTAATCCATGACGGCGAAGTGTGTTACTAATGGTTTTCTTTGAGACTGTGGTCCCAGCTCTCTTCAGGTCATTGACCAGGTCCTGCCGTGTAGTTCTGGGCTGATCCCTCACCTTCCTCATGATCATTGATGCCCCACGAGGTGAGATCTTGCATGGAGCCCCAGACCGAGGGTGATTGACCGTCATCTTGAACTTCTTCCATTTTCTAATAATTGCACCAACAGTTGTTGCCTTCTCACCAACCTGCTTGCCTATTGTCCTGTAGCCCATCCCAGCCTTGTGCAGGTCTACAATTTTATCCCTGATGTCCTTACACAGCTCTCTGGTCTTGGCCATTGTGGAGAGGTTGGAGTCTGTTTGATTGAGTGTGTGGACAGGTGTCTTTTATACAGGTAACGAGTTCAAACAGGTGCAGTTAATACAGATAATGAGTGGAGAACAGGAGGGCTTCTTAAAGAAAAACTAACAGGTCTGTGAGAGCCGGAATTCTTACTGGTTGGTAGGTGATCAAATACTTATGTCATGCAATAAAATGCAAATGAATTACTTAAAAATCATACAATGTTTTAGATTCCGTCTCTCACAGTTGAAGTGTACCTATGATCAAAATTACAGACCTCTACATGCTTTGTAAGTAGGAAAACCTGCAAAATTGGCAGTGTATCAAATACTCCCCACTGTATGTATGTATGTGCAGTGGGGGAAAAAAGTATTTAGTCAGCCACCAATTGTGCAAGTTCTCCCACTTAAAAAGATGAGAGGCCTGTAATTTTCATCATAGGTACACGTCAACTATGACAGACAAAATGAGATTTTTTTTCCAGAAAATCACATTGTAGGATTTTTTATGAATTTATTTGCAAATTATGGTGGAAAATAAGTATTTGGTCAATAACAAAAGTTTCTCAATACTTTGTTATATACCCTTTGTTGGCAATGACACAGGTCAAACGTTTTCTGTAAGTCTTCACAAGGTTTTCACACACTGTTGCTGGTATTTTGGCCCATTCCTCCATGCAGATCTCCTCTAGAGCAGACTTTCAACTCCCTCCAAAGATTTTCTATGGGGTTGAGATCTGGAGACTGGCTAGGCCACTCCAGAACCTTGAAATGCTTCTTACGAAGCCACTCCTTCGTTGCCCGGGCAGTGTGTTTGGGATCATTGTCATGCTGAAAGACCCAGCCACGTTTCATCTTCAATGCCCTTGCTGATGGAAGGAGGTTTTCACTCAAAATCTCACGATACATGGCCCCATTCATTCTTTCCTTTACACGGATCAGTCGTCCTGGTCCCTTTGCAGAAAAACAGCCCCAAAGCATGATGTTTCCACCCCCATGCTTCACAGTAGGTATGGTGTTCTTTGGATGCAACTCAGCATTCTTTGTCCTCCAAAAACGACGAGTTGAGTTTTTACCAAAAAGTTCTATTTTTGTTTCATCTGACCATATGACATTCTCCCAATCCTCTTCTGGATCATCCAAATGCACTCTAGCAAACTTCAGACGGGCCTGGACATGTACTTGCTTAAGCAGGGGGACACGTCTGGCACTGCAGGATTTGAGTCCCTGGCGGCGTAGTGTGTTACTGATGGTAGGCTTTGTTACTTTGGTCCCAGCTCTCTGCAGGTCATTCACTAGGTCCCCCCGTGTGGTTCTGGGATTTTTGCTCACCGTTCTTGTGATCATTTTGACCCCACAGGGTGAGATCTTGCGTGGAGCCCCAGATCGAGGGAGATTATCAGTGGTCTTGTATGTCTTCCATTTCCTAATAATTGCTCCCACAGTTGATTTCTTCAAAACAAGCTGCTTACCTATTGCAGATTCAGTCTTCCCAGCCTGGTGCAGGTCTACAATTTTGTTTCTGGTGTCCTTTGACAGCTCTTTGGTCTTGGCCATAGTGGAGTTTGGAGTGTGACTGTTTGAGGTTGTGGACAGGTGTCTTTTATACTGATAACAAGTTCAAACAGGTGCCATTAATACAGGTAACGAGTGGAGGACAGAGGAGCCTCTTAAAGAAGAAGTTACAGGTCTGTGAGAGCCAGAAATCTTGCTTGTTTGTAGGTGACCAAATACTTATTTTCCACCATAATTTGCAAATAAATTCATAAAAAATCCTACAATGTGATTTTCTGGAGAAACATTTCTCAATTTGTCTGTCATAGTTGACGTGTACCTATGATGAAAATTACAGGCCTCTCATCTTTTTAAGTGGGAGAACCTGCACAATTGTTGGCTGACTAAATACTTTTTTCCCCCACTGTATGTATGTATGAGTGTGAAATCTTATCGTTGACGTAAGTGTTGATTCTCTCTCTGTTCTCAGGTACCTCTTGTTCTACCATAAACAGTTTCTGGAGTACGAATAGTCACCTTCCTTCAGCACTGATGTCAACAGCCACCAAGAGTCTTGCAACAACAAGATGGCAACCTGAAACTTTACATCAGTGAAGATTTGAAGCTGGGGGAATGGAGGGAAAAGAAAATGAAGCATGCATCCTTTCTGAATAAAGGACACTCAAAAACGAATCTGCACTGAAGCTACTAGGATCTACTTGATAAGGAGGAAGAGAGTGGGGTGGGGGAAGGGAGATTGCAGGATGGAGAGTGAAAGGAGGAGTGTGACTATGGAGGCTTTGTTGGAAGAGAAGGCGCTTCCTTCACTTTCGCTCTCTCTATCGCCCTTTTTCTCTCTTGTTCCAGACAGACAGACAGGCAGATGGAGGGACAGACTGACCGTGGGCACATCTCATCAAAACTGTCAACTTCACATTCAGTTATTTTATCATTTCTGAATTCCATAAGTCCACCCACACACACACACACCCATCTACAAGTGACCAAGCATTTTCAAAGGAGGAAATACATTTGGTTGTCTAATTTCATTATGCATTATTATTGCGCGGACTGCAAAACAAGCTGACAAATGGTATTTCGAATATTGCAAAGACAAAGTGATTACTATAATTGTTGTTTGTGACTTTTTTGTTTTGAAAATACTGTATGATTAATCTAGAAGACATCTGACTGAGTTGAAGAAGTGGAGTGTGGTTCTGTGAAAAAGCTATCCTCTTTTCTTTTTTCTTTTTTTTAAACTTTTCGCGAGGGCAGAGAAAATACATAAGTATATTTTTATAATGAATATGAGTCCTTGTTTATAGTTCCCCATCCTCCCCTCTCCCTCGAACAACCCGTCCTTGTTATGTTGTGCAGTCAGTCATGTCTTTTTCAAAAAGAGAAAAAAAAGTTATGCTTCATCTCATGAGACTGCTGTTGTGGAGCTTGTTTCACATTTGTTTGTTACTTGTGCTGATGGCATAATTCTTGTGTTGCTGACATATGGTTGTGAATTTGTTTCAGGTGATGCGTTTTTGTGAAGAAGAAGAAAAAGACTAGCACTATTCTTACCAAGTGTGTATCCTGCCGGAGACAGTGACTCGATCTGACACTAGTAAACCTTGTCCACATGTTGCTCTAATTCCATGTATGCACACACGTTGTGCATATGTTTGTGTACTGAATCAGTACTTCCATTCAGCATGCTGTCTACGATGGATATAAAGTCGGTGTCGGATGAGTTTTTTTTCACATTATTATATATGTTAAAGTATGTATGTATGCTAAAAAAAGAAACCAAGGTATAAATTGAGTTACGTTATCGGCCAAGGATCAATATGTTCTAGTCAAGACTACATCCCCAACACTTTATTTGCTGCAAGAACTGGACACTGATGGTGAGACCCAAAATAAAAATCTATATCTATACTCTCCTATGTGCTGCAGGGTTTTATTAGCTTGTTCAGGATTTACTGGAGGTCTTTCATGGCACATGGAGGCCACCCACCTGTGAATGTCCAGCCAGGTCACCTGTGATAGTCGGTATTTGATGTCTGAGCATGTCGGGAGATGACGTGGAAACCTGCCACTAGGGGGCAACAGTGAGTGCTTAAGCATCTGCCTCCGGTGCCAAAGGTTGCATGTTCAAATCCAGCAATAGAAATATGTTTTAGAGATTTTTGTTTTAAGCCTATCCCAAACTATAACCCTTACCTTAACCATTCGGAGTTAATGCCTAACCTTAGGCATTAAATCCGAAATCTTAAACTTAACCTTAAACACAAACTTTGTAATTTGACTTTTGAGAAACATGGATGAACGTCTAATTCTGACTGTGAGAGCTAGTTTTAATGTCTCCCGAGAGATGGAGAGGGTGTGGGGCGGCAGGTAGCTTAGTGGGTAAGAGCGTTGTGCCAGTAACCGAAAGGTCGCTGGTTCTAATCCCCAAGCCGACTAGGTGAAAAATCTGTCGATATGCCCTTGAGCAAGGCACTTAACCCTAATTGCTCCTGTAAGTCGCTCTGGATAAGAGCGTCTGCTAAATGACAAAAATGTAAAATGTGTGTTTGGGGTATGTACATACAGATGTAGGATCTTAATTTGATCACACTTTAGTTGCTGAGAATCTTCCTGCACAGCAGGAAATATAAACTTGTGTATTCAAGGTTTAAAAAGGCTTCTAAAATGTCATCTCCAAATGTCAGACTTGATTCGCCCTATTGAAAAGTGTATCAACCTCTACAAAAATGTCCATTAATTATAAACCACATAATTCACATTTCCTGTTGCTGCAGGATTATTTTCCTGCTGTAGCGAACTGGCTCAAATTAAGATCCTACATCTGTACAGCCATATATCAGGTTCTCTGTCACTCCCTTCTGTCTCACTCCCTCAATACCGGTTCTCGTATATCCTTCCTTCACCACCTATTCATTTCTGCTCTCCAGACTGCTCACACATCTGATCTTGGGACAGTTTTGCATTTTTCCCCCACTAATTGTTCAGGTTAGGATTGGGGAGGAGAAGCTGATCCTAGATCTGTACTTAGGGGAAACTTCACCCTAGAGTGGGCGGTGTCAGATCTGTCTAGAGTTGTTTATTTAGTGTCCAGTCTGGTTCAGTTCTGCAATCAGAAGCTGGGCTGACAGGGGGAGCAAATTATTCTCTGTGATGAGCCACAATGAGGGGCTCTGGTAGGAGAGTGGAAGTCCTGGGGGACAGCCTGCTGGTAGAGGGTGAGAGGGGGTCTCTGCTTTTTCTCTCCCCTGCCAGGCACGCCGAGGTCAGGGAAGCAGTGGACACACACACAGGTCTCTGTTGGGCTGGACGAACGGCTCGCTGTCACACTGTTCAGCTGGGGCAGGGACGGATCCATCAGGCAATCTAAAGATGGTACGTACACACACACACACACACAGAGAGAGATAAGCAATCTAAAAGGAGCCATGTTGAGTTATAAGATTGTGATCTTGGATCAGTTTTGCCTTTTAGATCTTAATGAATATAAATAAATGGACAGGGGGGGACCTGATCCTTGATCAGCACTCTTACTCTGAGTGGCTTTATGAAGATGTGCCCTGGACTACCTTTTAGACTAGATGTGTGCCCAAACTGACCTTTGGAGGACTGGCTGTGCTGGTTAGGCTCTTGGCCCTCCTGGCCTCTATGACCCTGGGTGTGACTGTTCTGTGTGGCCCCTGGTCGGGGGCCCATGGCTCTGGCCCTCCTCAGCAGCACCAGCAGAGCCACAGACAGGGTCAACAGCAGCAGAGCCAGACACAGGCCCAGAAGAGAGTACACCAGGATGACTGAGTTTGGCAGGCCTCTGGGTAGGTAGCCCCCCCTGGTGGTATGGTTCTGGAAGGCATTCCCATCCACAGGCCTCAAGATTGCAATCAAGGCAGGCTGTTGGGCTTGAGGGAATTAAATGACTAAAATTCAATCCTTATGTACCCTGCAATAACATCCATGTAATGTGAAGTGAGTTGTAACATAACTTATTCACCATTTCCAAATGTCAAAGCTCTACTTCTAGACAGTTCTCAGTTCTGAACATCATCAAAGCCAAATGCATTTAATCCCAAAGTTGTCTTATTTAAATTTAACTGAATTAGAGAAAACACCAAATGGCACCCTATTCCCTATATAGTGCACTACTTTTTACTAGGGCCTTATGGGAGGGTACCGTTTGGGACTTAGATAATACATTTGAGCTAGTCCAGCTGTGTAATCCTGAGGTAATGAAGCTGGGTAAAAGGGCTGGGCTGGGTAAAAGGGCATTTGAAAAAGGAATTGGCGAGCCCAACTCAAATGTTTGTAGTAGAAAAAAGAATTTGGGTGCTGGGTTCAAAAGGCATATATTTTAAGAAAGGGAAAAACCTACACTGGAATATTCTTAAAGTTTTCAAATCATATCTTTTTATTTTTTTATTTTTTATTAAATTGTATTTAACTAGGCAAGTCAGTTAAGAACAAATTCTTATTTACAATGACGGCCTACACCGGCCAAATCCGGACGACGCTGGGCCAATTGTGCGCCACCCTATGGGACTCCCAATCACGGCCGGTTGTGATACAGCCTGGAATCGAACCAGGGGGTCTGTATTGACGCCTCAAGCACTGAGATGCAGTGTCTTAGACCACTTAGCAGCAGAGGTCAGAGCAAACGGACGCGTTTCGGCCACAGCCTTGACGAATTGCTGACGAAACGCTCGTCCGTTTGCTCTGAACTCTGCTTCTTAAAACAAAAAACAAAAAGGAAAGAATATTCCTGTGAGTGGAAGCTGCTGCACTTGTGAAGGGGTCGCTTGCATGTCAGTTGTTATACATATTGGATCGACTGCCAGAAACTATATTGGAGATGGCTGTAGGCTCAATGAATTACTTAGTAGTGTACAAACTCTTATGATGGTTTGAGAGAGGTGTGTGTGTGTTACAGAGAGCGAGAGTGAGACAAAAAGAGGACATTTAGCACCTAATATTCTCAGTGTCCTATATGTTTTGTGATATCTACAACATACTGGGTGGATGTATAGTACTTTAGAATACTGTTCACTCACTCTGACACTGGTTGGAACACTCTGAGGGATGGTTGCCACACACCGCAGCACACCTCAGACACTTCTTCAGCAGCCTGTCGTAGTACTGCCCTGGGACCGCCTTACACCCCAGAGACACTGGCATAAACAGACACACAATGGCACAGGGATGGTCTGAGTATTATAACATGCATGGTATATTCTTCCTGTGTTTTGACACAAAATGGCTACCATGTATCAACCACGATTCCAGTAGGCTATAAATGTTACTTAACCCTACAAAAAGGGTCTTGAGATTCATTGATCCTTTTACCACTGCTATAGCACCATATACATAGTGTATATATAATTAAGTACAGTGCCTATCAAGAATTCACCCCCTTGGATTTATTCACATTTTATTGTGTTACAAAGTGGGATTAAAATTGATTTAATTAAGAAATGTTGTCAATGATCTACACATTATACTCTGTAATGTCAAACTGGAACATTAGGAACACCTTCCTATAATTGAACTGCACCCCCTTTTGCCCTCAGCACAGCCTCAATTAGTTTGGGTATGGACTCTACAAGTTGTCAAAGACATTCCACAGGGATGCTGGCCAATTTTGATTTCATTGCCTCCCACAGTTGTGTCAAGTTGGCTGGATTTCCTTTGGGTGGCGGACCATTCTTGATACACACGGGAAACTGTTGAGCGTGAAAAACCCAGCAGCGTTGCAGTTCTTGAAACACTCCAACCGGTGCACCTGGCACCTACTACCATACCCTGTTCAAAGGCACTTAAATATTTTGTCTTGCCCATTCACCCTCTGAATGGCACAAATACACAATCTATGTCTCAATCTCCTCAATGCTTAACAATTATTCTTTAACCTTTCTCCTCCCCTTCTACACTGATTGAAGTGGATTTAATAAGTACCTCAAAAAGGGATCATAGCTTTCACCTGAATTCACCAGGTCAGTCTGTCATGGAAATAGCAGGTGTTCTTAATGTTTTGTACACTCAGTGTATATTGACTAGATAAGTATTCACCCCCTGAGTCAATATGTTAGAAACACCTTTGGCAGCGTTTACAGCTATTGAGTCTTTTTGGATAACTCAAAGAGCTTTGCACGCCTTGATTGTGCAATATTTGCCCGTTACTTTTTTCAAAATACTTCAAGCTCTTTAAATGTTGTTCTTGATCATTGCTAGACAGACATTTTCAAGTCTTCCCATAGTTCTTCAAGTAGATTAAGTCAAAACTGTAACTCAGCCACCCAGGAACATTCACTGTCTTCTTGGTAAGCAACTCCAGTGTAGATTTGGCCTTGTGTTTTAGGTTATTGTCCTGCTGAAAGGGGAATTCATCTCCCAGTGTCTGGTGGAAAGCAGAATGAACCAGGTTTTCCTCTAGGATTTTGCCTGTGTTTAACTCTATTCTCTTTAACCTCTTAAGGATTGGACACTTTTTTTCAATTTTGTCCTTAAATGACATACCCAAATCTAACTGCCTGTAGCTCAGGACCTGAAGCACGGATATGCATATTCTTTATACCATTTGAAAGGAAACACTTTGAAGTTTGTGGAAATGTGAAATTAATGTAGGAGAATATAACACATTAGATCTGGTAAAAGATGATACAAACAAAAAACCATGCTTTTCCCCCCCAAAAAAGTTTCAGCATCTTTGAAATGCAAGAGAAAGGCCACAATGATATTGCAGTTCAGGCGCAGTTTAGATTCTGGCCACTAGATGGCAGCATTGTGTACAAAGTTTCAGATTGATCCAGTGAAGCATTGCAATACTGGACTATTTTGTATCAAGTCCGCCCAAATGTGCCGAATTGGTCAATTGATACATTTTCAAGTACATAACTATAGAGAACATACAAAAATGATATGGAAATACAAAATGTAAGTTTACACACTCCAAGGAATGTCATACATGATGGATCATTAGCTTATACACTAACTTTCACATATCTAGATGGCTGGGCGGAGTGGGTGTGGAGCCAGAGACAGCAGGGGTTCAAACTGTAGAACCCAGTTCCTAAATTTGAATATAAAAATTGATTTTATCAAACAAAACTATGCTACATTTTATCTCTGAGACTCTTAGGATGACAAATCAGAGTAAGATTACTGAATGTAAGTACATTATTTACCTTCAGAGGTGAATGTATCAAACCAGTTGGAGGACTGGCTGATCCCGTAGAGGTAAATTTTATCCTGAAAAACTCCCCAGTCCTTGCCGATGACAAGCATATCCATAACATGACGCAGCCACCACAATTCTTGAAAATGTGGAGAGTGGTACTCAGAGATGTGTTGTTGGATTTGTCCCAAACATAACTTTTTGTCCTGAACACAAAGAGTTCATTATTTTGCCACATTTTTTGCAGTATCAATGTAGTTTTACATTTTAGTCATTTAGCAGACGCTCTTTTCCAGAGCGACTTACAGTTAGTGAGTGCATACATTTTCATACTGGCCCCCCGTGGGAATCGAACCCACAACCCTGGCATTGCAAGCGCCATGCTCTACCAACTGAGCTACACGGGGCCACGTGTAGTGCATTGTTGCATACAGAATGCATGTTTTGGAATATTTGTATTCTGTACAAGCTTCCTTCTTTTCACTCTGTCATTCAGGTTGTTATTGTGTATTAACTGCACTGTTGATCCATCCTCAGTTTTCTCCTATCACAGCCATTAAACTCTGTAACTGTTTTAAAATCAACAATGACCTCATAATGAAATCCCAGAGAGATTTCCTTTCTCACCGGCAACTCAGTTAGCAAGGACACCTGTATCTTTGTAGTGACTGAGTATATTGATACACCATCCAAAGCCTAATCAATAGCTTCACCGTGCTCAAAGGGACATTCAGTGTCTGCTTTTTTTATTTTAACCCATCTACCAATCGGTGCCCTTCTTCACGAAGCATTGAAAAAGCTCCCTGGTCTTTCTTGTTTAATCTGTGCTTGAAATTCACTACTCAACTGAGGGACCTTACAGCTAATTGTATGTGAGGGGTACAGAGATGGGGTAGTCATTAAAAAATCATGTTAACCCCAATTATTGCACACAGAGTCCATGCAACTTATTATATGGTTTGTTAAGCACATTTTTACTCCTGAACTTATCTAATCTTGCCATAACAAAGAGGTTGAATACGTGTGCAACCAAGACATTTTAGTGATACATTTTTCATTAATTTGTCAAACAAAAATATTATTTTGACATTATGGAGTATTTTGTGTAGATCAGTGACACAAAATAATCCCACTTTGTAATGCAACAGAATGTGAAAAAATCCAATGGGGTGAATACTTATGATAGGCACTTTATCTCTATGTATAACTTCGTAGATTGAGTCCACAGGAGGTTGGTGCACCTTAATTGGGGAGGAGAGGCTTGTGGTAATGGCTGAAGCGGAATAGGTGGAATGGTGTCAAATACATCAAACACATGATTTCCGTGTGTTTGATGCCATTCCATTTGCTCCGTTCCAGACATTATTTTGAGCCGTCCTCCCCTCAGCAGCGTCCACTGATTGAGTCATATGGACAATCATACGGGATCTCATTGACTTCTCAAGTCAGAGTATGTGTAATTTCCCCCGGCATGCGTTTGTGTGTATGAGAACTTACCACAGTACTCAATGCATCTGAGGTGGCGATGGGGCTGCTGGCAGACCATCTGACAGGTCAGACACTTCCTGACCAGGCCGTCCCAGAAGTAACCCTCAGAACAACCTAACCCCATGGCTCAGTTCGGGTGTCAACTCACACTCTGACTCACTGAATGACAGATGGGGAAATCAGGGTCAGTTCATGGGATCTTTGCATTATTTGTATTTATTAAGGATCCCCATTAGTTCCTGCCAAGGCAGCAGCTATGCTTCCTGGGGTCCAGCAACATTAAGGCAGTTATATACAATAAAAAATATTACATTTCATAACACTTAGTAATCAGTCTTGTATCGGTTGGTTTGGATGGATACAAAACTGTTTTGTTTTACACAATATTATCCTGTCCAACTAGCTCAAGAAGATATCAGAAGAGAGGGCAAGCCTCCATATACAACTTCAAAGATTTAAATGAACTTTTCTTGACAGAGGAATACTGCGCTGCGCTCTACTGGGCACAAAATCACTGAGCTGGAGAAAGTACACAGAACCAACGAATGAAGCTGCGCCTCACCTTGTTCTTCAACTTCATAAAATTGAATAATACATTTGTTCTTATCTGTGCATTTGCTTAAACCATTCTCCAATAGTATCATGTAATGCCTTTACTGATCATTGATTCCTTCACCACACGTGATGTTATCAACAGTGTCTTTGTTGGTGTAACACTAGCATAAACAATGGCTCACATGATGTTCATCTTTATGTCTGGATATCCGATTAGTATGTTTTTTTGTTGTTTTCCTTCATTACCATTCCCAGGTGGTCAATTAATAATCAAAGAATCCATTTTCCTTTTAAAAAGTTATAAACCATGAACAGCATAACCATTAACCAACTCACATGTAAATAAAAATACATCTCATAATATAATGTAATAAACCAAATATCATATGACTTACCTACAGAGGGAAGCAAGATGTCTATCGACCTTTGCTTGAAATGTGCTTCTCATGCAGTGACATTGGGCTACGTGTATTTGAGTTGGGGGCTGATTTGGGTACAACCACAATGTCTTTTCTGGGACTTCCCCCTTTCACAGAAGGTGAGCTCCTCTCTTGGTATAGTGAGTCAGGCTTGACTTTTACCAAGCAATATGAATTTGCCTACCTTTCCCAAATATTGAATGAGACGGTATGTTATTTACAGTGGTGTGTCACTGGTACATGGTACAATTGGTAAAATGATACATTGGTTAAATGTCATGCAGACTCACAGCAGCCTTGTAGTATGATGAGGATTTGGAGCGCAATATAAAGCTCTTATATTGCAGTGGACTTACATGGCCATCTCACTATGCTATTTGAAAGAGCATGGACCCATCTGTCCCTCGTAACCATATTCTGTTTCATTGGTCAATGTTCATGAATACAGCTAGACCTACATTTACTGTAAATCAATGTTTATGTTTTCACATGCATGTGAGTCGTTTTTAGATTTAATAACAATGCCAGTTCAGTGGTCTTGTGGTTAGAGTGTCCACCCTGAGATTGGAAGGTTGGGAGTTCGTTCCCCGGCCGAGTCATACCAAAGACTGTAAAAATGGGACTTGAGATAGATTCAGGGTAAGGCCCTGCAATAGACTAGTGTCCTGTCCAGGGGGTGTAATTGTACATCAAGCTGCCTCATGTTACAGAAATTCCTATGACCATTCTGACTCGTGCAAGGCTACTTACTTAATTTAATAATAATAACACATTTCCGAAGGAAGGAATTTGCAATGACTTTACAGCAAAGTAGATATGCATGGGTGTTGAGTCACTGTGAAACTAAAACTGGCGACACATAATTACACCCTCCTCTGCACCTGGTGTACTAGTTCTCTACCAGTGTGAAGTAGATGTCATGTAGAAACAGACAACAGTTCACCTACAGAAAGCTACTAACCCTCAGAATAGACCTACAAGAAACAGATGTTCAGTCAAATAGGAGGAAAAAGGAAGAACCCACAAGTCAACACACACAAATCTCAAAAGCTAACAAATTAGTCAACCCAAATGAGTATAGCCATCCATTTTCAAATGTAACTGCTTTTAATTGCAAGTAGTAGTCGTAGTAACAGCAGTAGCAGAAGCAACAATATGACATATTTACAAAAAACAGACATTTGATGAAACCAAGATAAACGTTTACAGTGGTCTTTGAACACAATGGTTGTGCAGCTATATGGACAAAGAGCCTTCTTCAATCCTATCAGAGTATGCACAGTCAGGTCCATAATTATTGGCACCCTAGATAAAGATGTGCAAAAAAAACTGTCTAAAATAAAGAATACAAATACTGAGCTATATTGTATGTAAAAAAAAAAAAAAAAGAAGAAAAAAAGGAAATTATATTATTTTATACTAATTCAATTGTTTAGCTAAATAAATTTTGTTTAACAAGTAATTTTAAAAAATCTAAAAAAGATAGGGGTCAAAATTATTGGCACCCCTGTTTTCAATACTCCCCTTGCAAGGATAACGGCACTGAGCCTTTTTATAAAATGTTTTATGAGATTGGAGAACACATTGGGAGGGATCATAGACTATTCCTCCATACAGAATCCTTCCAGATCCTTGATATCCTATGTCTGCTCTTATGGACTGCCCTCTTCGATTCAAACCACAGGTTTTCAATGAGGCTCAAATCTGGAGACTGAGATGGCCATTGCAAAATGTTTAACCATTTCTTTGTGGATTTTGATGTGTGCTAGGAGTTATTGTCTTGCTGGAAGATCCACTTGCAACCAAGCGTCAGCCTCCTGGCAGAGGCAACCAGGTTTTTGGCTAAAATGTCCTGGTACTTGATAAAGTTCATGATGCCGTTGACCTTAACAAAATAGCCCCATAACATCTTTCTCTGAGCAATTGTATCAGTGTTAAATAATATAATTTCCCTACAATTTTTTTGCATACAATGTAGCTCAGTATTTATATATTTTATTTTATACAGTATTTTTTGCTAATCTTTATCAAGGGTGACAATAATTATGGACCTGACTGTGGATTTTGAGTTTTGAGAATGACACATATTGGTCTTCACCAAGTTTGCTGCTTCAGTGTTATGATATATTTTTGTCAGATGTTACTATGGTATACTGAAGTATAATTACAATCATTCCATACGTGTCAAAGGCTTTTTATTTACAATTACATTAAGTTTATGCAAAGAGTCAATATTTGCAGTGTTGACCCTTCTTTTTCAAGACCTCTGCAATCCGCCCTGGCATGCTGTCAATTAACTTCTGGGCCACATCCTGACTGATGGCAGCCCATTCTTGCATAGTCAATGCTTGGAGTTTGTCAGAATTTGTGGGTTTTTGTTTGTCCACCCGCCTCTTGAGGATCGACCACAAGTTCTCAATGGGATTAAGGTCTGGGGAGTTTCCTGGCCATGGACCCAAAATTTCGATGTTTTGTTCCCAGAGCCACTTAGTTATTACTTTTGCCTTATGGCAAGTCGCTCCATCATGCTGGAAAAGGCATTGGTCGTCACCAAACTGTTCTTGGATGGTTAGGAGAAGTTGCTCTCGGAGGATGTGTTGGTACCATTCTTTATTTATGGCTGTGTCCTTAGGCAAAATTGTGAGTGAGCCCACTCCCTTGGCTGAGAAGCAACCCCACACATGAATGGTCTCAGGATGCTTTACTGTTTGCATGACACAGGACTGATGGTAGTGCTCACCTTGTCTTCTCCAGACAAGGTGTTTTCCGGATGCCCCAAACAATCAGAAAGGGGATTCATCAGAGAAAATGACTTTACCCCAGTCCTCAGCAGTCAAATCCCTGTACCTTTTGCAGAATATCAGTCTGTCCCTGATGTTTTTCCTGGAGAGAAGTGGCTTCTTTGCTGCCCTTCTTGACACCAGGCCATCCTCAAAGTCTTTGCCTCACTGTGCGTGCAGATGCACTCACACCTGCCTGCTGCCATTCCTGAGCAAGCTCTGCACTGGTGGTGCCCTGATCCCGCAGCTGAATCAACTTTAGGAGACGGTCCTGGCGCTTGCTGGACTTTCTTGGGCGCCCTGACGCCTTCTTCACAACAATTGAACCTCTCTCCTAGAAGTTGATGATGATCTGATAAATGGTTGATTTAGGTGCAATCTTACTAGCAGCAATATCCTTGCCTGTGAAGCCCTTTCTGTGCAAAGCAATGATGACGGCACGTGTTTCCTTGCAGGTAACCATGGTTAACAGAGGAAGAACAATGATTTCAAGCACCACCCTCCTTTTTAAAGCTTCCAGTCTGTTATTCTAACTCAATCAGCATGACAGAGTGATCTCCAGCCTTGTCCTCGTCAACACTCTCACCTGTGTTAACGAGAGAATCACTGACATGATGGCAGCTGGTCCTTTTGTGGCAGGGCTGAAATGCAGTGGAAATGTTTTTGGGGGATTAAGTTCATTTTCATGGCAAAGAGGGACTTTGCAGTTAATTGCAATTCATCTGATCACTCTTCATGACATTCTGGAGTATATGCAAATTGCCATTATCAAAACTGAGGCAGCAGACTTTGTGAAAATTAGTATTTGTGTCATTCTCAAAACATTTGACCACGACTGTAGTTTGAATCTCTATATACCCGCCCAACATCCTTGGGGCAATCACACTACGAAATCTCAGAAACTAACCAGGTGAGGGAGACATTTAGCAACATTTGGGGTGATATCCCAACCCGATTCGCTGTATTACAGTATAAGCCATTCGACACATTCAGTTTTCCAACGATTTTATAGAATGTACATGTCCCTCCATTTCTATGGCCATTGTGAGTAAAACAGAACCTCTAAACATCTTTCTAATAATTGGCTAACAGTGTGCCAATTTAGCTAACTCTAGCTCTTCAAAAACTAAGCAGCCATTTTAGGGGTGCAGGTTTTCAAAGAGAACAAAGTATCAGAGGAGATACATTGTTGTGTTATATACAGTGTACCTGATAACTGTCTGTGGACAGTAAATTACCATCCCAGTAAAAACTATTTCCAGCCCCAGTAGACCACCTCAATAAACATTGAATACTCTCTATCAAACCAATTGGAACACCAGGGGCATCATGCACCCAATATTTTTGAGGTGGCACGATGTATGTGAGGA